GATGATTGACATCTTAAAGTATAAGGGAGTCGAAGAGGACTCCGTCTTGGGATGGTTCGTCGAACTGGACGACGCCATAAGGGCGCGTCGCATCGACGATGGGGATATGCAAGTTGCATTTGCCCAATAAAATCTGGCAGGACGTGCCAAGACTTGGGCTTTGGGACTCAAGTTGCACGACCCATATGCGTTTGGTCGTTAGAAGTCTCCAAGTCGCGGCTCAGACAAACTTTTGAACCGCCTAGAGCTGAGTTCAGAGCTCGAACTGAACTCTTGAAGCTCAAGCAGGGTAAGCGTGATGTGCACGCTTACGCGCAACATATACGACATCTTACAAGTTGTATAAGTTCCAATCCGGTGGATGAACACACGTTGGTTTCGGTGTTCATGCAGGGTCTTGCGGATTGTCCCGTCAAGACTCACCTGTTCCGACTTGAACCAGATTCACAAGAACAAGCCATTTCCATTGCGGAACAGGAAGACTTCAGTCTGAGACAGGCTCGCGCCAGCTCGACATCATATCGTCAACCGAGACGATATGACAACGGAGGTCCAGAGCCGATGGAACTCTGTTATGTATAGAGCGAGAAGGCTCGTTCTACAGGCTACAAGAAGTTGCAGAGATGCAACAGATGTCAAAAGACAGGACACTACGCTTACGAGTGTAGTGCCCCTCGTCCAGTGTCTCGCAACACTGGGCGTAGTGACCGTCCGCCCATGAGAAAGGGGCAGGGACGAGGGTCCGCTGTTGGTGCAAAGACGCAACAACGGGATGGACCGTAAAAAAGCGGACAGGATCAGTGGTTGCGGAGCACCCGACTGGTCCAGCAACGTCAAGAGAATTTGTAGGCCTCTTGATGAAGGTTGCTCCCAACACACAAACGTTGTGCGTTGCTGCTCTAGGTAATAAGATCTCACTCATTACCTTGAAACTCGAAGTGACATGTAAGTTGTCCCTTCGAGCTCTAGTCGATTGTGGGGCGTCCAACAATTTAGTGCGACGCCAATCGCTAGAAGATGGTAACTTCAAGTTTGTTGAATGTGACACACCTCATACGAGGATGACGGTACGTCTTGCGACAGGCGCAACCGTAACCGTCATGAAGCGTATAGTGAAGATCCACTATACGCTAGAAGATACCCAAAATGACGATGACTTTATCGTATTGGATTTGGATGACAAATTTGATGTCATCCTTGGAATACCGTGGCTCAGAAGTTACGAACCACGAGTAAACTGGCAACATCGAACAGTAACGATGCCTGCCGCTTGTTCATCAGATGGCCATCTGATGAACGTTTTGGAGAGTCCACAAGCGTGTGGATGTACTACGAGTGAGTGCGATGGCCTCACTTGTGGTACGGTCGTTAGTACGACTGCACAAAACCTTAGTGTACCAAACGGTTACACTTCGGAGCAAAGTTCCGGCGGCTGTGAGGAAACACAGGCTGCGCCGAAGGTCCACCACTCGAATAAGTCGGGTGGACTGGGACAAAGATGTATCCCTAGAGGGGAACATCTAGAAGAGAAACAATCGATCGCTCAGGTTAAGCGAAACGATAATCCTAGATCGACTGGAGAGTCTTTCGTAGAGGATCTCGCTGTGGTTGCGCAACCCCAGCTAGAGGAAGTAAAGGGAATAAGTCCCAAGATTACAAATACGGCGGAAATAAGTTCCCCGAAACCCGCGGGAATAAGTCCCCGGGAAGACGAAGGAATAAGTCCTTCGAAGCCTGAGGGAATAAGTCCCCAGGAAATGACAGAGACATTGAATGTCATAGTCAATAACGGATCATGTGTAGGCGCTTATACACTTGATCTGATTGCGCCTCCGAAGTTAACTTCGGACATCACTCAGTTGCCAACTCTCGAACATAAAAGGTTCTTGCGTGATCTGCGTAGTGGCAAAGTCAAGCAGATCTGCGTACTCGTCGCTGACGACGAGTGTGTAACCGACATAAGGTCAGCAACAGTGTTTACTGAGAACGAGAGAGTTCTCAGTAGTTCATCTATGGACGAGAGTGTCCTCGATGAAAAGACACGAATTAAGCGATATGACTCCCAATCGTGGGAATCGCTCAAGACAAATCCTCTCTATGAAGATTTGGTTGAATTCAAGGATGTATTCCCTGAAACTGTTCCGTGCGAATTACCGAAGGATGAAGGTATCCGACACGAGGTCGAGCTTAACCCAGGCTCGAAGTACTGTGTCATGAAGCAGTGGCCACTGCCTCGTGAACAAGTACTTGCGATCGACAAGATCTTTGCCGATCGTTTGCTGCGGGCCACGTGAGGGAATCAACTTCCCCACATAGCTCTCCGACCTTCTGTGTGCGAAAAGCAACAGGAGGGTGGCGAATTGTGCATGCATTTAACAAGTTGAATGCTGCAACGGTACCGGCTCAGACGCCGATACCGAGGAAGGACGTAATCATTGATGGTATGTCAAAGAGTACCATTTTTTCGTCCATGGATTTGATGGATGGCTTCTATTAAATCCTTATGCGAGAACGGGATATACCCTATACCGCAGTGAGCACGCCTAGCGGCATGCTCTGGGAATGGCTAGTAATGCCACAAGGGCTCAGTACTGCCCCTGCCACGTTCAACAGATGTGTATCACATCTGTTGAGACCAGTACGAGAATTCGCGCCGAGTTATTTCGATGACGTATTCATCCATAGTCGAGCTGTGGATGGAAAGTCGGATGTTGAGGTTCACAGGTACCACGTCCGACATGTTCTTACAATCATGCGAAAGCATCAATTGTATGCCAACCTCAAGAAGTGCATATTTGCAGCAAGCAAAATACCACTTCTTGGGTGCATTGTTGGTAAGAACGGTGTACGTCCTGATTTCGAAAAGATCAAGGCGATCACCGACTGGCCTGTGCCGGTTGATGTCAAAGGTCTTCGAAAATTCCTTGGGCTAGCGGCGTATTTGCACAAGTATTCACGCGATTACGCCGAGATGACTGTACACCTCTCTCGCTTGTTGAAAAAGAACGAGAGGTGGTTATGGAATGCTGAATGTCAGCGCTCCTTTGATGGTATCAAGCAGAGCTTGATACAATCCCCAGTCCTAGCAATTGCCGATCAGGGCAGGCCATTTCATGTGGTCTGTGATGCCAGCGATTTCGCAATCGGCTGTGCATTAATGCAGTACGATCTTGAAGGCGTTGAACGCGTCGTCTGCTATCAGTCGCGTCAGCTGCAACCAGCTGAGCGGAACTATCCAGTGCATGACAAGGAACTCCTTGTCATGAAGTATGCACTCGCGAAGTTCAGAGTCTATCTCTTAGGAGATAGACCCTTCATTGTTTACACTGACCATGCGTCATTACGCACGGCAGTGAACAGCCCGCACCTTTCACAACGAATGGCGCGGTGGTTGTCATTCTTTGCGGAATACAACTTTACGGTCGAGTACAAACCAGGACGACTTAATGTCGTCGCTGATGCACTCTCACGTCGTCCCGACTTTGAAACAGTCGTGAAACCCAACAGTGAGACAGTCACTGTTGCGGTTATGACGTCTTCAGTCCCATACTATTCAACGTTGTATGATGATGTGAGGCGGGCATACGCCCAAGATGGTGAGATAGTGAAGTTGTTGACACATCTCTCACAGCCATCTCGAGAATCGTTGAAACGATTGTCGCCTGCGTATCGATCTGCATCAGATCGATACACTACTCGTAACGGTTTACTGTATTATACAGCCGTTTCTGGTGACACCCCACGTGTTGTCATTCCAGAAGATACTGATCCGCGTGTGCGGATCATGTTCGAGTATCACGATGCTCCTATAGGAGGACATCGTGGCCGGGAGAAAACTTATCTCACGGTGAGTCGAGACTTTTACTGGCCCCGCCAGTATCAGTTTGTGCGAAAGTATGTTCGCGCATGCGAAGTCTGCCAACGAGTGAAGTCAAGTCCTTCACTGCGTGCACCTTTACAGCCTCTACCGGTTCCGGCTGAGTGCTGGGAATCCATCTCAATGGATTTTGTCTTCGGGTTACCCAAAGACGCACGCGGGAATACGGGTATTCTCGTGTTTGTTGGCAGATTCAGCAAAATGGTCCACCTTGTGGCTGTGCCCGAGACAATCACGGCTAGTGGCTGTGCTTGTGTCTTTATTGACACCATCTTCCGACTTCATGGGTTGCCCCGTGAACTCGTATCAGACAGAGATCCACGATTCACTGCAGATTTCTGGCGTTCCGTGTTCAAATCACTCGGAACGCGCTTGAAGATGTCGACATCTGATCATCCAGAGTCAGATGGTCAGACGGAGCGTGCCCATCGTGTTCTAGAAGAGATACTTCGAGGATACGTACACTCCTTTAAGAGTTGGAGTGAGTTCTTGCCACTGGTAGAGTTTGCTATTAATAACTCGGTGTGTGCGTCCACGACACATACACCGTTTTACGTGAACGGCTTACGCCATCCGCGTTTATCCACCTTACTAGAGTGTAACTCTGGTTTAAGGGGGGGAGAGACTCGTACGAGCAAAAACCGATTTGGTTCACGCTCATCACGCTCTGACGAAGAGGTCATTGCGTTTGATGCCGATATCGATAACATCGATATCGAAGAAGATGATGCCAGTGAGTGCGCGGAAGCCCTCACTGAAGAAAACGTTGATGTTGCTGCAGTGCACTCACAGCGCACTGAAGCTAACGAGTCATCAGATGAGTTCATACTGGCTCGTGAAACGGTAGTCCGTTTTGTGCAAGACTCCATCGCCGAAGCGGTGGATAAGCAAAAGAAAAACGCAGACAAGAATGGAAGGGCAAACACTCTTTTATTTAATAAAGGTGACTTAGTCCTACTGTCTACGGTTAATCTACCAAAGCATGTAGTGACTAACTTGGGTAGTAGTTTACTACTACCCAAGTACATCGGCCCATTTCGTGTATTGCATCGCCTAGGCAATGCATACACGATCGAGTTACCACGTAAGATGCGAACGCATCCCACGTTTTACGTTGGTCGGCTTAAGCAGTACCATCAGTACGCTGCTTCTTCCGATGAAGAACGCCCTTGCGCTCAAGCATCTCGCAGAGAGCCTTGTGCTCCCGATGGTGGGCATCGATAAGGGTCTGAAGAGCAGCTTTCTCATCCCAAGACCGATCAACAATCCCACGAGCTACCCTTAGCTCGTCACGAAGAGATGTCAGAGATCTCTCGTTCTCAAGCTGAGCAAAGGCAAACTCAGCTCGATGCTTCGAGGCAGTGTCCGCCATTTGGAGACGCCTATTCCGCTCATGCTCGAGATCGTCGCTTAACCCTTGCGTTACGCGATCAAAGAAGCTCTAGAGAACACATGTTTCCCCTGATCGTGTGGAGAGCGTTTCCCTCCTCCTCCTCCACCTCCATTAGAGGACTCTAGCGGTGGCCAGCGCTATCTAGTTGAGCATCTGTTGAACCACCGCGACGTGAACGGACGTCGGACGAGTTATCTAGTCCGGTGGCGCGGCTATCCCCCGTCCTGGGATTCTTGGGAGCCCCGCTCCCAATTGATGGTTGACGTACTGGGTCTGGTCGAGCAGTACGACGCGACACATCCTGTGCCGCAGAAGGACCGCCGGAGAAAGTCTTCCCGGCACGGTCGTAAAGGGATTTCAGGTTGTCAATCCCTTCGTACATCTCAGTAGAGACACGTACGCGCCACCACGGGCTGGTAAGGAGGTAAGCCTCCTTAGGTGCTCGTGCAGAGTTGTTCACACAACATGGGCACGAGTCTCCCCAAGAGAGGCAGGGTAATCCTTTCTCCCTTGACAGACGATGCAGCTTATAGCGTGCACCTGTCGGGGTTCGCTTTTCAAACTTATCACGAGCTTTGATAAGTTTGTCGTTCCAAGCGTCACGACCTACATCCTCGAGATTATGGATGTAGGCGTTCCACGCCTGAAGTAGTGAGGGACCATCACGTTTGTGATTCCCACTGTACCATCGATGTCTGAAGAAAGCATCGATGAAGAACTCATGTTCAGCGCGATAGTCTTTCGCGCTGGGGTCAAGGTGATGAATCCTCGACGAATCGAACAATCATGTTCGATAACGATCACTCGTCGTCGCCGACAAGTGATCCATGACAGATTTAGGAGGCATCCATGCCTTCTTTTCTGGAGCGAGACGCAACACATTGCGGTCCCGCTCTTCCTGCGACGTGCCGACAGAAGTACTGGCACCTCGCTGTGAAGTGGTGTCCATTGGAGAAACGACACCACTATTAGCGCCCGAGTCTCGCGACCTCGAGCGCCTTCGCTTCGGCGATGGTTCATCTGATGAGTCAGATGAACCAAAGATGCTGCGACGCAAAGCATCGTCCATGCCACGCTTGGCAGGCGGCTTGGATTCAATTGCCGTCGATACGGATCCGTCATCCGTATCAGGAGAGTACGAGACACCGAGCTCGTACTCTGTGAAGACACGAGTGTCTTCATGACCAGCGCCTGGATCACCAAGTGACACAGGCTGGGTCGCTTCAGCAACCGATGAGACATCAGTTGCTGTGGTTTCTGCTTCGGCGTCCGCACAGAGACGTGCAGACGCGCTCTCGGCGGCCTTGCTCGCGCACCGCATGGACTTGTTAACCATGCGATGAAAGTGATGGACTGTGGCCTCGGACCAACAAGTGCAAACCCTGTCCCAAATGATTTGGGACGAGTATCCATTTAGTCGATCATTCACTAAAGTGACTGATGGTTAAGGGGGGGGTGATGTAACGGGGTGAATCGTTACATAACAATTTATAAGAAATTGTTAATAGAATATAACTATAAGAGTTATATTCTCAGAATATTGTCATAAGGACAATATTCTGTAGCACTTACGAGTAGTTCCTAATTGGTTGATATAGGCCATTATATCAACCAACGAAGACGCGCCACGACAGACGCACGCAATGAGTGGTGAGCAGATAACTGATTTACACATTTGTATTTAGACATAGTTAGATGAAGATAAATAGTGATTTATTGCAGACATTAACTATTATAAATACAGTTCTACTTTTTACTCTAACCAAGTACTCGCTTCTTCTTACCGTCTTCCTCTGCACGTACGAGTGTACGTGAAGTTACGAGGCACCGCCTTATTCTGTTATCAGAATAAGTAGCTTGTACTGTCACCAGTACAAGCTTCAGGGTGCCCCGTTAAAGGACTCGTAAAGCGGTGCGTCCGTCTTCAACCAAATTTCTGATCGGTAATACGTTGAAGGTCATTCGCAACCTCTCTGTTCGTCATGACTGGATTGCCACTCTATGCGCAGAAGCGAAGGGTGATCCGGTTCTGCTTCGATCGTTGGGAATGCAGGACACAACGTTGCTCTCGACTCCTGAAGCTTTCGAGGACGTACTCAAGAACCAGTTCGAGAACTTTCCTAAAAGACAACAAAAGAGTGAATACGTGCGCGAACTCCCTGGTGAAGGCATATTTATTGTCGATCACGAGAAATGGGATGTCCAACGCAAGACCGCAAGTAATTTATTCACCATGCGAGCGTTGCAGGATTCCATGACGAGCACAATTCAGCGACATTTGGTAGTCCTCGAACGTATTTTCAGTCGGGCAGCGGAGACGGACGACTCGGTGGACTTATGTTGCCTGCTAAACCGCTTCACCATGGAGGCGCTCACCGAAATAGCCTGTGGGATAAAAACGAATGTTTTGGATTGTGATGAGGAACACCCGTTCCAGGCAGCGTTCGATCGCTGTAACGGGGCACCCTGAAGCTTGTACTGGTGACATTACAAGCTACTTATTCTGATGACAGAATAAGGCGGTGCCTCGGAACTTCGCGTACACTCGTACGTGCAGAGGAAGACGGTAAGAAGAAGCGAGTACTTTGTTTAAATAAAAAGTAGAACTGTATTTAGTATAGTTAATGTCTGCAATAAATCACTATTTATCTTCATCTAACTATGTCTGAATACAAATGTACATATCAGTTATCTGCTCACCACTCATTGCGTGCGTCTGTCGTGGCGCGTCTTCGTTGGTTGATATAATGGCCTATATCAACCAATTAGGAACTACTCGTAAGTGCTACAGAATATTGTCCTTATGACAATATTCTGAGAATATAACTCTTGTAGTTATATTCTATTAACAATTTCTTATAAATTGTTATGTAACGATTCACCCCGTTACATCACCCCCCCCTTAACCATCAGTCACTTTAGTGAATGATCGACTAAATGGATACTCGTCCCAAATCATTTGGGACAGGGTTTGCACTTGTTGGTCCGAGGCCACAGTCCATCACTTTCATCGCATGGTTAACAAGTCCATGCGGTGCGCGAGCAAGGCCGCCGAGAGCGCGTCTGCACGTCTCTGTGCGGACGCCGAAGCAGAAACCACAGCAACTGATGTCTCATCGGTTGCTGAAGCGACCCAGCCTGTGTCACTTGGTGATCCAGGCGCTGGTCATGAAGACACTCGTGTCTTCACAGAGTACGAGCTCGGTGTCTCGTACTCTCCTGATACGGATGACGGATCCGTATCGACGGCAATTGAATCCAAGCCGCCTGCCAAGCGTGGCATGGACGATGCTTTGCGTCGCAGCATCTTTGGTTCATCTGATGAGTCAGATGAACCATCGCCGAAGCGAAGGCGCTCGAGGTCGCGAGACTCGGGCGCTAATAGTGGTGTCGTTTCTCCAATGGACACCACTTCACAGCGAGGTGCCAGTACTTCTGTCGGCACGTCGCAGGAAGAGCGGGACCGCAATGTGTTGCGTCTCGCTCCAGAAAAGAAGGCATGGATGCCTCCTAAATCTGTCATGGATCACTTGTCGGCGACGACGAGTGATCGTTATCGAACATGATTGTTCGATTCGTCGAGGATTCATCACCTTGACCCCAGCGCGAAAGACTATCGCGCTGAACATGAGTTCTTCATCGATGCTTTCTTCAGACATCGATGGTACAGTGGGAATCACAAACGTGATGGTCCCTCACTACTTCAGGCGTGGAACGCCTACATCCATAATCTCGAGGATGTAGGTCGTGACGCTTGGAACGACAAACTTATCAAAGCTCGTGATAAGTTTGAAAAGCGAACCCCGACAGGTGCACGCTATAAGCTGCATCGTCTGTCAAGGGAGAAAGGATTACCCCCTGCCTCTCTTGGGGAGACTCGTGCCCATGTTGTGTGAACAACTCTGCACGAGCACCTAAGGAGGCTTACCTCCTTACCAGCCCGTGGTGGCGCGTACGTGTCTCTACTGAGATGTACGAAGGGATTGACAACCTGAAATCCCTTTACGACCGTGCCGGGAAGACTTTCTCCGGCGGTCCTTCTGCGGCACAGGATGTGTCGCGTCGTACTGCTCGACCAGACCCAGTACGTCAACCATCAATTGGGAGCGGGGCTCCCAAGAATCCCAGGACGGGGGATAGCTGCGCCACCGGACGAGGTAACTCGTCCGACGTCCGTTCACGTCGCGGTGGTTCAACAGCTGCTCTACTAGATAGCGCTGGCCACCGCGAGAGTCCTCTAATGGAGGTGGAGGAGGAGGAAAGACGCTCTCCACACGATCATGTGGATCGGTGTGTTCCCGAGAGCTTTTTGATCGCGTAACGCAAGGGTTACGCGACGATCTCGAGCATGAGCGGAATAGGCGTCTCCAGATGGTGGACACTGCCTCGAAGCATCGAGCTGAGTTTGCCTTTGCTCAGCTTGAGAACGAGAGATCTCTGACATCTCTTCGTGACGAGCTAAGGGTAGCTCGTGGGATTGTTGATCGGTCTCGGGCTGAGATAACTGCTCTTCAGACCCTTGTTGATGCCCACCATCGGGAGCACAAGGCTCTCTGCGAGATGCTTGAGCGCAAGGGCGTTCTTCATCGGAAGAAGCAGCGTACTGATGGTACGGCTTAAGCCGACCAACGTAAAACGTGGGATGCGTTCGCATCTTACGTGGTAACTCGATCGTGTATGCATTGCCTAGGCGGTGCAATACACGAAATGGGCCAATGTACTTGGGTAGTAGTTTACTGCTACCCAAGTTAGTCACTACATGTTTTGGTAGATTAACCGTAGACAGTAGGACTAAGTCACCTTTATTAAATAAAAGAGTGTTTGCCCTTCCATTCTTGTCAGCGTTTTGCTTTTGCTTATCCACCGCTTCGGCGATGGAGTCTTGCACAAAACGGACTACCGTTTCACGAGCCAGTATGAACTCATCTGATGACACGTTAGCTTCAGTGTGCTGTGAGCGCACTGCAGCGACAACAACCTTTTCTTCAAGGAGGGCTTCCGCACTCTCACTGGGATCATTGTCTTCAGTGAGGGCTTCCGCACTCTCACTGGCATCATCTTCTTCGATATCGATGTTATCGATATCGGCATCAAACGCAATGACTTCTTCGTCAGAGCGTGATGAGCGTGAACCAAATCGGTTTTTGCTCGCGCGAGTCCCTCCCCCCCTTAAACCAGAGTTACACTCTAGTAAGGTGGGTAAACGCGGATGGCGCAAGCCATTCACGTAAAACGGTGTATGTGTCGAGTTGTTGATGGCAAACTCTACCATCGGCAAAAACTCACTCCAACTCTTAAAGGAGTGGACGTATCCTCGAAGTATCTCTTCAAGGACACGATTGGCACGTTCCGTCTGACCATCTGACTCTGGATGATCAGATGTTGACATCTTCAAGCGCGTTCCGAGTGATTTGAACACGGAACGCCAGAAATCAGCAGTGAATCGTGGATCTCTGTCTGATACGAGTTCACGGGGCAACCCATGAAGTCGGAAGATGGTGTCAATAAAGACACAAGCACAGCCACTTGCCGTGATTGTCTCTGGTACAGCCACAAGGTGTACCATTTTGCTGAATCTGTCAACAAATACGAGAATACCCGTATTCCCGCGTGCGTCTTTGGGTAACCCGAAGACGGAATCCATTGAGATGGATTCCCAGCACTCAGCCGGAACCGGTAGAGGCTGTAAAGGTGCACGCAGTGAAGGACTTGACTTCACTCGTTGGCAGACTTCGCATGCGCGAACATACTTTCGCACAAACTGATACTGGCGGGGCCAGTAAAAGTCTCGACTTACCGTGAGATATGTTTTCTTCTCGGCCACGATGTCCTCCTATAGGAGCATCGTGATACTCGAACATGATCCGCAAACGCAGATCAGTATCATCTGGAATGACAACACGTGGTGTGTCACCAGAAACGGCTGTATAGTACAGTAAACCGTTACGAGTAGTGTATCGATCTGATGCAGATCGATACGCAGACGACAATCGTTTCAACGATTCTCGAGATGGTTGGGAGAGATGTGACAACAACTTCACTATCTCACCATCTTGGGCGTATGCCCGCCTCACATCATCATACAACGTTGTAGATGGAACTGAGGACGTCATAACCGCAACAGTGACTGTCTCACTGTTGGGTTTCGCGACTGTTTCAAAGTCGGGACGACGTGAGAGTGCATCAGCGACGACATTAAGTCGTCCTGGTTTGTACTCGACCGTAAAGTTGTATTCTGCAAAGAATGACAACCACCGCGCCATTCGTTGTGAAAGGTGCGGGCTGTTCACTGCCGTGCGTAAGGACGCATGGTCAGTGTAAACAACGAAGGGTCTATCTCCTAATAGATAGACTCTGAACTTCGCGAGTGCATACTTCATGGCAAGGAGTTCCTTGTCATGCACTGGATAGTTCCGCTCAGCTGGTTGCAGCTGACGCGACTAATAGCAGACGACGCGTTCAACGCCTTCAAGATCGTACTGCATTAATGCACAGCCGATTGCGAAATCGCTGGCATCACAGACCACATGAAATGGCCTGTCCTGATCGGCTATTGCTAGGACTGGGGATTGTATCAAGCTCTGCTTGATACCCTCAAAGGAGCGTTGACATTCAGCGTTCCATAACCACCTCTCGTTCTTTTTCAACAAACGAGAGAGGTGCACAGTCATCTCGGCGTAATTGCGTGAATACTTATGCAAATACGCCGCTAGCCCAAGGAATTTTCGAAGACCTTTGACATCGACCGGCACAGGCCAGTCGGTGATCGCCTTGATCTTTTCGGGATCAGGACGTACACCGTTCTTACCAACGACGCACCCAAGAAGTGGTATTTCGCTTGCGGCAAATATACACTTCTTGAGGTTTGCATACAATTGATGCTTTCGCATGATTGTAAGAACTTGTCGGACGTGGTACTTGTGAACCTCAACGTCCGACTTTCCATCCATAGCTCGACTATGGATGAATACGTCATCGAAATAACTCGGCGCGAATTCTCGTACTGGCCTCAACAGATGTGATACACACCTGTTGAACGTGGCAGGGGCATTACTGAGCCCTTGTGGCATTACTAGCCATTCCCAGAGCATGCCGCTAGGCGTGCTAACTGCGGTATAGGGTATATCCCGTTCCGCATTAGGATTTGATAGAAGCCATCCATCAAATCCATGGACGAAAAGATGGTACTCTTTGACATACCATCAATGATTACGTCCTTCCTCGGTATCGGCGTCTGAGCCGGTACCGTTGCAGCGTTCAATTTGTTAAACGCGTGCACTATCCGCCACCCTCCTGTTGCTTTTCGCACACAGAAGGTCGGAGAGCTATGTGGGGAAGTTGATTCCCTCACATGGCCCGCTGCTAAACGATCGGCAAAGAACTTGTCGATCGCAAGTACTTGTTCACGAGGCAGTGGCCACTGCTTCATGACACAGTACTTCGAGCCTGGTTTAAGCTCGACTTCGTGTCGAATACCTTTATCCTTCGGTAATTCGCACGGAACAGTTTCAGGGAATACATCCTTGAATTCAACCAAATCTTCATAGAGAGGATTTGTCTTGAGCGATTCCCATGATTGGGACTCATATCGCTCAATTCGTGTCTTTTCATCTAGGACACTCTCGTCCATAGATGAACTACTGAGAACTCTCTCGTTCTCAGTAAACACTGTTGCTGACCTTATGTCGGTTACATACTCGTCTTCAGCGACGAGTATGCAGATCTGCTTGACTTTGCCACTACGCAGATCACGCAAGAATCTTTTATGTTCGAGCGTTGGCAACTGAGTGATCTCCGAAGTTAACTTCGGAGGCGCAATCAGATCAAGTGTATAAGCGCCTACACATGATCCGTTATTGACTATGACATTCAATGTCTCTGTCATTTCCTGGGGACTTATTCCCTCAGGCTTCGAAGGACTTATTCCTTCGTCTTCCCGGGGACTTATTCCCGCGGGTTTCGGGGAACTTATTTCCGCCGTATTTGTAATCTTGGGACTTATTCCCTTTACTTCCTCTAGCTGGGGTTGCGCAACCACAGCGAGATCCTCTACGAAAGACTCTCCAGTCGATCTAGGATTATCGTTTCGCTTAACCTGAGCGATCGATTGTTTCTCTTCTAGATGTTCCCCTCTAGGGATACATCTTTGTCCCAGTCCACCCGACTTATTCGAGTGGTGGACCTTCGGCGCAGCCTGTGTTTCCTCACAGCCGCCGGAACTTTGCTCCGAAGTGTAACCGTTTGGTACACTAAGGTTTTGTGCAGTCGTACTAACGACCGTACCACAAGTGAGGCCATCGCACTCACTCGTAGTACATCCACACGCTTGTGGACTCTCCAAAACGTTCATCAGATGGCCATCTGATGAACAAGCGGCAGGCATCGTTACTGTCCGATGTTGGCCAGTTTACGTCCGTGGTGTCGTACCTTCTGAGCCACGGTATTCCAAGGATGACATCAAATTTGTCATCCAAATCCAATACGATAAAGTCATCGTCGTATTGGGTATCTTCTAGCGTATAGTGAATCTTCACTATACGCTTCATGACGGTTACGGATGCGCCTGTCGCAAGACGTACCGTCATCCTCGTAGGAGGTGTGTCACATTCACTGAATTTAAAGTGACCATCTTCTAGCGATTGGCGTCGCACAAAATTGTTGGACGCCCCACAATCGACTAGAGCTCGAAGGGACAACTTATTCGTCACTTCGAGTTTCAAGGTAATGAGTGAGATCTCATTACCTAGAGCAGCAACGCACAATGTCTGTGTGTTGGGAGCAACCTTCATCAAGAGGCCTACAAATTCTCTTGACGTTGCTGGATCAGTAGGGTGCTCCGCACCTACTGATCCTGTCCGTTTTTTGACGGTCCATCCCGTTGTTGCGTCTTTGCACCAACTGCGGACCCTCGTCCCTGCCCCTTTCTCATGGGTGGACGGTCACTACGCCCAGTGTCGCGAGACACTGGACGAGGGGCACTACACTCGTAAGCGTAGTGTCCTGTCTTTTGACATCTGTTGCATCTCTGCAACTTCTTGTAGCCTGTAGAGCGAGCCTTCTCGCTCTCTACATAACAGAGTTCCATCGGGTCTGGACCTCCGTTGTCATATCGTCTCGGTTGACGATATGATGTCGAGCTGGCGCGAGCCTGTCTCAGACTGAAGTCTTCCTGCTCCGCAATGGAAATGGCTTGTTCTAGTGAATCTAGTTCAAGCCGGAACAGGTGAGTCTTGACGGGACCATCCGCAAGACCCTGCATGAACACCGAAACCAACGTGTGTTCATCCACCGGATTGGAACTTATTCAACTCGTGAGATGTCGTATATGTTGCGCGTAAGCGTGCACATCACGCTTACCCTGCTTGAGCTTCAAGAGTTCGGTTCGAGCCCTGAACTCAGCTCTAGGCGGTTCAAACGTTTGTCTGAGCCGCGACTTGAAGACTTCCAACGACCCAAACGCATATGGGTCGTGCAACTTGAGCCCCAGTGCCCAAGTCTTGGCACGTCCTACCAGATTTGACTGGGCAAATGCAACTTGCATATCCCCGTCGTCGATGCGACGCGCCCTTATGGCGTCATCCAATTCGACGAACCATCTCAAGAGGGAGTCTTCTTCGACCCCCTATACTTTGAGATGTCAATCTTCAAAGTCTCGGGTCGACGCGAGTGCATCGACCCGCCAGCAGCAGCCTGCTTCTGTCTCAACAGTTCAAACTGTTGAGCACCCTGTTCTCTCAACAACTCTGCTTGTTGAAAACCTTGTTGGTAAAGCAAGGCTACTTTCTCGCGTTCAGCGTCAAGTTCATTTTGAATGAACTTGGCGATAGTAGCATGTTGGGCATCTCTATTGAGAGCCTCTAGCATGACGCTAACAGCATGGATGCCCATGGTCGAACCCATTCGTTCAACCGCATCCCATTCGACATCGCTCAAATGGGAGTAGCCGTCACGCGTAGTGTGAAAGCTTTGGTCATCTCCATCATCTAACATATTCATGTTAGATGTGAACGTGGTCCTTGGACGGACTACAAAGTGCTACCAGGTGTAACAGGGCACCCTGAGGCTTGTACTGGAGACAGTACAAGCTACTTATTCTGATGACAGAATAAGGCGGTGCCTCGTAACTTCACGTACACTCGTACGTGCAGAGGAAGACGGTAAGAAGAAGCGAGTACTTGGTTAGAGTAAAAAGTAGAACTGTATTTATAATAGTTAATGTCTGCAATAAATCACTATTTATCTTCATCTAACTATGTCTAAATACAAATGTGTAAATCAGTTATCTGCTCACCACTCATTGCGTGCGTCTGTCGTGGCGCGTCTTCGTTGGTTGATATAATGGCCTATATCAACCAATTAGGAACTACTTGGAAGTGCTACAGAATATTGTCCTTATGACAATATTCTGAGAATCTAACTCTTATAGTTATATTCTATTAACAATTTCTTATAAATTGTTATGTAACGATTCACCCCGTTACAAGTCCCAAGCTTTGACTTTCCATCAGCTACCAATAGCCAATTCGCGAAGGGAAGGATGACGAGTATGCGTCTATCGCGGTCATTTTTACATACGTTACCCACCGATTAGGGCCACGCTTTCGATATGCAATCAGCTAGTTCTCTGCCGAACATGTGACACTGGACTTTGGAACCAATTTGTATGGTTGGTGTCGTGTCACATGACGTACAATCTGAACAACGCGTCACTGGACATAGAAACGGATGCCGGAAAGATCGATGTCGTGTCACATTACGTACAATCAGCTAGTGTACTTCCGAGCTTCCGTGTGCGTTTGTTCCATCGTGTCTCGAAAAAACGTTATGCGCTAGTGTCGGATGCTTTGCTTGTAATCGGACCGATAACCAAAATCGTACGGAAATCAGCTTACCTTGGACAAAGCTGAATCACGGCTGAAGACAATGGGACGCACGTGTATACACGTCGTACCTGCAGTTTCATTCAATTCCCTGCATATTCACTTGATCAACATCGTCAAAAACTGCACTAAGCCTCGCTGCCATGGCGCCAGGCGTCCACCAGCGACTTAAAAATGCCGTCTGGTTTGCGCTGCAGCTCAGCGGGTGACCCGAACTCGGCCACTGATCCCTTATCCATCACCAGAATGCGATCTGAATCAAGGATCGTGTTGATGCGGTGCGCGATCGTTAATGTCGTGCAATCACGGAACTCCTCGCGGATACTCTGCTGGATCTGCCGGTCCGTCTCTGGGTCGACCGACGCAGTGGCCTCGTCCATCAGGATGATCCTCGCCCTTTTCAGAAGCGCGCGCGCAATGGAGAGCAATTGGCGCTCACCCACACTGAAGTTTGAGCCCTTCTCATCCACGGCGGAGTCCAGCGAAGTCACTGCATTTTGTAGCGACGCACGCTTTATCGACGTCCAGATCTCATCATCGGAGAACTTATCGAACGGGTCCAGATTCGAGCGCACCGTGCCCGAGAATAGCACAGGGTCCTGCGGAATAATGGCGATCTTGGTACGCAAGTCGTGCAAGCCAATTTTGCTGATGTCCACACCGTCAATCTTGATGCTACCCGCATCCAGCTCCACAAGACGCATGAGTCCTACAATCAAACTGCTCTTGCCTGCACCCGTTCGACCTACAATGCCGACCTTCTCCCTTGGATTAACAGTGAAGGTCAGACCACGAAGTACGCGTGAAAGACCCGGACGGTAGCGCAGATCGACACGGTCGAAGCTGATGACACCAGCTGATGGCCACTCCGGCGGTGGCTTTTCGAAAGCACTGCTCGTCAAAGCAGCTTCGATCGGAACCTCCGTGTACGTCTGGATGCGCTCTATTGATACCATTTGCGTCTGCAAGTGACTGAGCATGCGCACAGACCAGTTCAGCGGCTGTGTGATGGTAAATGCGTACGCCAGCGATACACCGACAATACCAGCATAGGCAGTGCCTTCACTGGCATTTGCGCCGTGAGCTAGAACTGCTGTGAGCGCAGCAGCAGTCGCAATGCATATACCAACGAACTCCAGACGTAAAGCCAGCCAGCAGTTTACCGTGAAGTTCAGGAAGTACGCACGCTGATTCTTGTCCAAGAGATAGTTATTGTGGCCAATAAAACTTTGTTCCACACCAAAAGCTCGTATTGTAGAGAGACCGTCCAGTGTCTCCGACAAATGCGCAAAGATGGGAGAACGACTAATGGAGTCCAGGCGCTGTAGCTCACGGGAAGTCTTGATAAAGTATCGCTGCGAGCAGTAGTACCCAACCAGTACCGGTGCCAGAATGACCATGAACATTGGGGTAACGCACGAGATTGTAATCAACGTGGCTGCAACCGACACAATGGTCTGGAGTAGACCGGCCACGGTGCCGGGGATCGATTCATCTAGTGTGTAGATGTCTTTTGACAAGCGATTCACGATGCGACCGAGTGGCGTCGTGTCAAAAAAAGAGGTCGGTGCACGCAAAATACGGTTGAACAGCTTGTCAAACAGCAAACGGCTTGCGTGGAGAGAGCCCAAATACAGGAGAACCACGCGGACGAACAGCATTGCAGCGAACGCCAAGTTTATCAGCCCGTACACGTACACGTAGTACATCTGCGAGTCCGGATACTTCGTTGCCTCCTCGGACCAATACGAGATCCACAATGTCGCAGCCACCGTCAAACATTGAGCAACAGAGAAAGCGAGCATGACCACGAAAGCAGCACTCATGCCACCGAACGCGTTAACCCACATTCTGTAAATTGACCATGACACGTCACCCACAGAGCGGTCCTCTTTGACAATCAGCTGGCCCCCGCTTTCTGCAGCAGCTTGACCGTCGTCACTCCACGTTGACGACACACGAGACCGGTGAAGCATACCACCCTCGATCGACTTCTTGCGACCTGATGTTGCCGACCCCGCCTCATCACACGAATCAGCCTTCACTTCATCGACGCCTTCCGCCACCAAATGCTCACTGTCCTCCTCCTTCTCGCTCTCTGCGTAGTGTAACACCATCTGAGCAAGCAATTTCTTCCTTGAAATCAGCTTTTTATATGATCCGTGCTCGGCAATTCTTCCGTTGGCGATTACGGTGATGTTATCGCACTGATTAAGAAATCTCAGCGAGTGTGTCACTAGCACTACCAGCTTGTCCTTCAGGGTCTTTTTGATGCATTCGTGGAATATGTCAGCGCCTACGTGACTGTCAACTGCGGACAGAATGTCATCAAGCAGATAAATATCGGCGTCCTGGTACACAGCGCGGGCGACAGCTACACGCGTTCGCTGTCCACCACTAAGGTTGATGCCCTTTTCGCCAATCTCCGTACGATCTCCAGCAGGCAGAGTGCGTACGTCTTCCGCTAGCGAGCTCACATGCAGAGCCTCCGCGTACTTGTCAGCATCAAACGAAAGGCCAAACGTGATGTTATCGCGTACCGTAGCGTTCTGGATGAATGGCTGCTGTGAAACGTATGCCACTCGGCCACGAATCGCCACCGAGCCGGTGCTGCATCGAGCATCACCCAGGATGCCTGCCAGCAGAGTCGACTTGCCGCTACCAACATGGCCCACAATTGCGTGCAGCTCGCCCGCCTTGGCTGAGAAGTCGATGTTGTGGAGTATCGGACCCTCTGCCACAGACGTTACCAATGACTCTCCTTCATCCCTTGTGTCATCGTTCATTCCGTTGCCATCAGCAGGCGAAGCTGCGTCCCACTTGAAGTCGGCACTCTGCACTGAGATACCGATGCCTTTCAGATCGCCCTGGCCTACGTTTTTGCGCTCTTCTGCCAAAAAGTAATTGCGCAGACGGTCGAAACTTACACTCGCCTCTACCACGTTGTTCAGCACCTGTGGTAGCATGAACAACGGAAACCGCAGGATGTTAAACAGTGCCAGACTTGTCAACGCCGTGCCCACGTCTAGCGTATGGCCCAGCAACACATACGCGCTGAACGAAACGATCGTCACGAGCGACGGCACAAAACTGAAAATCGTGTCCGAACCGCTGCGCGCTAGCACATATAGCCTCAGACGTGCCAGCTCTTCTTGTCGGAACCTCATCACACGCTGACTGAACGAGTTTTCCCACGCCTTGAGCTTCACCACCTTGATGCCTGACAGTATCTCGACACACACCTTGATACGCTCATCCTTGACCTCCATCAAGCGCTGTTGCAGCTTGCGCATAGCCGTCGAGATGAATGTCATGAGTGGAATAATCAGCAGGATCACCGCTACGCCCGCGAACGTCGCCAAGCCAATTTGTTGCCATAGCAACACACACGACACGGTAATCTGGAACGCCGCGTACCATACAGCGTGCAAGTATGGCGTCATATCCTGCAGCCGCTGGGCGTCAATGGACATGAGGTTCGTGATCTCGCCTGACGTCCGCTGCTGCCGGGCTGCAGCCGACAACAGGATCGACTTTTCAAATACGGCCGTGACAACAGCGCTGCGAAACTGCAGACCTGTTTCATAGCAGTAAAAAAAGTATTGGCGCAGTGCAAAGGACTGGACCACGCCGGAAACGAAGACCACACCAGCGTATGTGAGACCCTCGGATAGCGGCGCCGTCGGGTCGCTCAGGTACGCGATGATGTTCTTGATAATCATGGGCCCCACGAACTGCAGCGAGTCGTGGATGAGCTTGAGCACACCGGCTACAACAAACTTGAAGCCAAAGGCCTTTGTGATGGCCCACACGAGACTGGGCTTCTTCGAGCGCTTCTGCTGCTCCCAGGCTTCGGTGAACTTCCGAGACACGTTGGCCGCACGGTTGTGCGGGTCCAGCTGGAACAGGTCGTCGTTCTCAAGCGGCCGCTCGTTGCCCAGCTTCATGAGGGGCGTGACCCACGAGAAAAAGACATTGCTTAGGCAGCCTGATTGCTGGGACGGACAGCGGTCGCCCAGACCGGGGGTGTCCAATACGGGCATCCACGTGGTCGAGGGTTTGTTGGACGTGGCGGTGGCGCCGTGCGTGACCGTCACGCCCTGCAGCAGCGGCGTGCGCTCTTCAGGGGTCTGCTCTCTTGAAGGCGCCATGTCTCACGTGGACAAAGCGAAACGGTGTAGTCCAGTGAGCCACGAGAAGCGATCTTAGCGATGCCGCGCAGATTAAAGACTGATGGCGACGATGGTTCCCGGACGGATGCGGATATTTTCCACCGACCATAAACAAGCGAAAGTGGACCCAAAATAACGCTGGCGTGGTATTTTGGGCAATGTGAGCCCGTGAACGAATGGATACGTAGCTGCTGACTTAAATGGTAATGTAGGATAGGGGTATCTTTAACGCCCAGATACTTCTCTACGAACGACACACGCCGCATCCAACCAACTGATATTCTCGATTGTTTCTATCGTATCACACCGGTTACGCGTCTTCTATATCATGACGAGTCGTAAAAAGATACGAGACATAATGGTGATGCTTAGAAAAAGAAAGGTTGGATCGGCCAACCACTGTCTGGACAGATTCGAAAATCGCGGGATATGAAAGATACGCAAGCACGCGCGGATGGCTAGCACGAGTTCTGCCCGTCAGGATTAGGAACAACGTCGCCAGCAGAAAAGTAAAGACGACAAATACTTCCTCTTTATCGTTCAAACACGCATTATACGATCAATTTTTTAACAGGTGGTATTCTAAAAGATCTCTAAAAGATCTGCGAGAACATCCTCTCGATTACAACAGTAAACGATTGCCCAAACTACTTTCCTATTTTGCATCAAACTACTTTCCGTTTTGCTGCACCAGATTAGCCCACCTACTAGTACATATCCTACTCAATTTTGTTCTCCATTTTCTCTCTTGGAGTCTTAAGCTCCACTGCCAGACTCGGATCGGGTCTGTCATTTTGGACAATCAAGACAAGCATCGACATCCCGATCGAAATTCTCATTGCCTATAAAATTAGACAGAACACAAAAACAATCAAGTCCCGTACACGACTGTGATTCGCCAAGAAGGTGCGACAACACGAGGTAACGCCGCCAAAATCAATATTGAGCGCTTTGCGGTGGGTCGGCTAAGGACTGATTCGTGAGGAGCTTAAGCCTCGCGTAAGGAAAAGACTGGGAAGCTGATCAACTCATTACTAAAATGCTCACACAGAAAATGGCAGTCTTGTGGGTGAATAGAGACAATCGCTGTATCAAGGCACCGGAGCAACACACTGGACATCCTGCAACGGGATGCCTTCGTTACATGATAATTTACACAAGGTAATTATTAGGAATGGATATTGTGTTAGGACAAGCACTTTATTCTCACAATATTATTGTTAATAGATAGTACTTCTTGGAAGATGTAACACACTGCCCATTGGTTGATATGGGACCAAGATATTAACCAATAAAGTCTAGACGCGACAGAAGCACGCAACGAGTGGTGGGTAGATAGTTACTATGCATGTTTGTGTTTCGACATAGTCAAATGAACTCAAATAGGGATTAATTAAAAGGATTAACTTTACTAAATACAGTTCTACTTTTTACCTCACTGAGTACTCTTACTCCGTATAGCAGTCTTCCTCTGCACGTACGTGTACGTGGGGTAGTCGATCGCACACACCCTTGCACTGTCAGCAGTGCAAAGTTTATTCATTTTGCTGAACAAGGTGTGCCCCATTACACAACCAGTGAGAAAATTCTATCACCGACAGCAGCGTGAGTGGTGCCTCGTTTCCTCTGTAAACTGCGCAGAGGGAGGGAAAGCAACTAGGAAATGACAGGTTGCTGGTAAAAGTAATACTGTATTTAATATCGTTAAGTCCTAATTATTAATCTATGTTTAGTCCTATTGTCTACAGAAGTGTATGCTAAAGTCTCGCTCACCACTTATTGCACGCGTCCATCGTCGATTGAACCGCTTGAGTTGGCTGACATGATGAATTATATTAGCAAATCGGGTGAGTGTTTTCAAATATTGCCCCTTTTGGTGATATTTACGAACATCATCAACCTTAATGATTATATCTAACTAACAAGTATTACCAGTTAATTACCTGTAGCAAGCTTACCTTGCTGATACGAAGGTGAAGCTATTAGTGAATGTGCGCAAGGTGCATGCGAAATCATCAAATCGTATTTATCCGTCTGTGTGTGTAAATAACGCTCGTCGTACTATGTGCAATCCAGCCTGTCCCCAATGAGGAGGAGACAGGCTAGATTGCACATAGTACGACCAGCGTTATTTCTGAGGTCACTCTTGACCTAAAATACAATTGTGAAGCATGTACGTGATTGGCTTAAACTTAACTAAAGGTGAGATTATCACATTTGCAAATGCTGGACGCTCATAAGCAAAGGCTGGTCGCGTATCCTGAGAGTACTGTACTGGATTCGTACAGGCATTAACCGCATCATACGTATTATTCACTGACTGCTGTTGTGTAGATATGTATTTACTATCTCAGTTCTCGAAATTGAATTACTGATGTCAAAGGGCAACCTTCAGAGTTTGCCTTCCTACATTGTTTTTGTAATAAAAAGGATGGTAGTGGATAGAGAAAACCTTGTGAGTTGTTTACGACTTTCTGGTCTAGGTTATTGTTAAATACACCCCACATTTCACTAAATTTACCCCATAAAACACACTCATACCACATCAAAATATGACTTGTACGAAAATGTAGTGCCATCATATCTATGCACGACCACTTTCAGACAACAACCTGCATCCGTCATGCGAATTATTGATTTACCGATCAAACCTCTACTATCACGCAAAGGACGACTGAAGCATTTTCCTTCGTCCACACGTTGACCTACAGCCAAGATGCACTCGTCACTGCGTGTCGTATATGTCTGAAATTCGATTTCTATCGTCCAAAAAAAGCCTCATCCATGTTTCGATCGAAAACAAGATGAATGAAACAAAGGTTCACGATTCACCTAGCCTTATCGAATGCATTTGTCGCAGCGGAAACTACGTGTTAGAAATCAAAATTGTGTAATACAGCTATATTGTTGATCAAGACGTGATTGTATCTGCATCAGGACCATCCATTGCCTGCCGCAGAAAGCTTGATTGGTTACTTCACTAACATGTAAACGAGTGATGCTGATTGTTGCGCAATCAGGGTCGTACATAGATATGGTAGCACTATGTTTGTCGTACAATTGGTACTGTGGGTCGTACAAGTGTAGTAGATGGGGTGATGTAGTAAAGATTGGGGTAATTTAACAACACCCTTAATGTCTCGATTGCATCACGTGCATGCATGACTCAACTATAACCCAATACTGATAACCTTCGATAGCGTAGAGGTAAATTCAATTGCACATTTATAGCTCATATCATTCTAAGAAAATTGATAGGTACACACCTACCCTTCGACACGCACACTCGCAGTTAACCTGCATAAATGATCATTTGTCACGAAGTGTAGCGTAAATACACAAAGATCTAATTTATAACATTCTAAATTAAATAGCACTGCACATTTGATCAGGAGAAGGGTGTGACCAGGAAAATGACAACTGAGCTACTGCCTTCAGCGCACCTTCTTTCGCGTGAAATTCCACGTCATTTAACGCAAGAGCATCTGATATTGCCGAACAAGTCCGTTCTTCGGCTCGGTGAAAGCCTGCACCAGCTCGTCCTTCGACAGACCCGTTGTGATCACGAGCAACGGAAAACGACCGATAAACTCGGGCATCATTCCATACGACACGACATCCTCCGGCTCAGCGCGAGAGCGTAACTAGCCAATATGATTGCTATCTTAAGCCGCACGTAAGCATCGGAGCACCGAAGCCATTCGATGACTGCGCTGTACACTGGGCACTTATTTTTACAGACGGGCAAATGCGCCACCACAAATGAAAAGAGTGTCGTTCGGTCTTTAGTAATGTACTCGTCGTGCGGGTTCTTGCAACCACCCTTTCCATTACATTTACCATACTTTCTTCCAAGAGCTTTAGCAGTGTGTGTTGCACCCCTTTGCCGGACACGTCGCGTGCGATACTCACCTATTCCCTCTTTCGTGTGATTTTGTCGATCTCGTCAATGTACACGATACTACGCTGATAGATTTATTGTTGTAGTTGGCAGCTTGGTACAGTTTGAACAAAACCGACTCGACATCCTCGTCCACATACCCAGCTTGAGTCAAGCCGTTGCAATAACAGTTGCAATCGAAACTTTAGCCAGTCGTGCTAGCGTCTTGGACAGCAGCGTCTTTCCCGAACCTGTGGGGCCGCGAGCATGATATCTGTCTCGTCCAGCATGGCAACTTCCAGTAATTTTAACTTGTCCCGGACTGCAGCGTCACGAACGTGATCGGCCGCTGTATTGGACCAAGTCGAGTCAATCAGCGTCTGGCTGGGTTAGTGTAAATCTCCTCCAGGCGAAATCGTCGACCGAGAAACGACCGTCGTGCGTCGTCTGCGTCCCCTTATCGGCTCGTATTCCTGTATCGCCTTAATGCTGCTCTTGGGCTTGGCACATGATGCTTCTGATTCTCTCCTGGCTTGCAGCAGATCCAGCTTAATGCGAGTCCCTTAAAAATAAGCCATCGAAAGAATTCATGTTCGCATGTGTAAGCGTTCCACCAGCAGCAACATCGGTAGTGCAGTTAGGTCGAGCATTAATGTTGCATGTTCAAACAGTTTACCGACCCGCAACGGTCTGGAGATTGATCACTCAACAAGTCGCCGTTTTTAGTCTGGTACGACGCCATCTTCAAAGCATGCAAGAGGAGTCATGGTCATGGTCGAGATCGCCGTGCTGTTTAATTTAGTAAGTTAGATTCTCATGCATTTACGTTATAATTTGTAGCAAACGAATAGTGTATACAGTTTGACCAGGTGTATACGTATCAAAGGGTGGGTGTGTGCGCATCGAAGAATGGATCAAATTCCTATTTTTTAATGACCGATACCCACTTATAAATGACTGGGAACAAGTGCTGAATCTGTGTTTACATGGCCCACATCAGCAGTCGAATGTGCATACCACCCGAGTTTAACTTACTGAGCTGCCGCAGGAGAGGCGCAAGAATAGATGGCCGCACTATCTAGCGAACATGCTGCTGACGTGGTTCATTGAGAGAATGTTTGCATGCTGCTGGAACTGCACAGCTATTACAAACAAACAATAACGTTGCAGGTGTCTGTCGATCAAGCGACATGTTGACGATAAATGATCAGCCTGGATGGCAACTCCGGTGCTCAATCGGGTCCGGTATCTGTACGGGTTTACTCACCTTCGATCACGCCCTCGCGATGTCTGGCTGGTTATGCTGCTGTAGCATAGCGTCAGACATGTACCTGTCTTCCATGTCCTTGTAGGCCCCCGACATCAGGTTGATCTGAAGTGCGTGGTCGCTGGAGCGAAAGTTCCTATCGTGCGATGTATCTCCACGATTGCCGCTTACAAAGTCCACTGGATTCACCTGTGGGCAAAGGCTTCTGTGGTTGCCGCTCACGCGGTCTTCTAGACTTGGAGCGTGCGACCGTTGGAGCAATGACACGTGGCGCGGGGACGGCACTAGTCGTTGTATCTACCACTGGTCTGTCGTCAGTACGACCGGTGGCGCACGAAAGGCACAGCCCCACCCACGTGGCTCTCATCAGTGAGGATAGCCACACTCATAGGCAGGTTGGTGTCCGTGGTAAAAGGGGCTCAAGTTCAGACAGCCTTGAGCTTAACCCCGACAATGTGGCGAGTCCTTTTGTGGATGTAGAGGCGGTCGAATTCGGGAATTTCTCGACTGCTGGTCCACCCTCAGGACGAGGTCACCCACCCCCACCGCCTCTCTCATGACGACAATGGTGTCCTCTTCCATGCACTCTTGACGACAAGTCGACGACAAGTTTGGTCAGAAAGGCGTCACAAAATGGATGGGGCGAACACCTTGTCGAAGGAGGTTTACGGGCGAGCTGAGTCTCAAGTCTAGGCATGCGATCGAAATAGCAACTAGAGGGGACCTGTATCATGCCAATCGCTCGGTCGACAGTAGCTAGAGAAAGCTACTAAGATGCTGCTGCGGGGTGTACAGAGAGACCGCGGTACAGATTATCTGGAAATGCCCGATCGACCGAGCGTGCTGTCATCAATATATACGGCTCTGGACTGGGAAGACTGCAAGACGCTTGGTGATGTCAATACAATCGAGCCACTCTGCCAACCGCCGAACTCCACCAATGTCTCGGCGACTACTCTTGCGTTTGCTAACCGCTTGACACCAATGCCGCGGGGCCGCCTCCGAACGCATACGCTTCGAATGAAGCTCTATCATGCGTCAAGTGCATCATTGGGCCGAGCGACATGTGGCGGTAATTCCGACGAGAAGCAACTTCTTCAGCTACAAGTCTCGCTGCATACTAAGAAACAGTCGTCATCAGCTAATGGCTATCGCATTGCGCGGATAATGAACCAAGCAACTACGATACGTGAAGCCTTACTTTACGTCCGTCTTGAATCGTTCACTCAAGATACAAGAGGACCCTGGCGCACACGAGGGTCAGCTAAAAGTTACCACACATTCGTCTAGTATCGTAGCTCCGGCAGGACCTTCAGGAATTTTGCACACAGTAATTGTAATAGACGAGCATGGGGCTCCTCCTCCACACGTCGAAGAAGTCCGACGTTGGAGGTGACTGCCCGCAACATCAACTACTTGCGCTGAGCGTGCTGTCTCAACTGGCAAAAACAGGAGATATCGTTCTGCTCAGCTCTTCTGCCATGTATTGACAGCGGCAGTTAACTCTCCGACTAGTCGAAGAAAACCCACGACCACGACCAGCAGGCAGCAACGTACTTTCCATTGACTGGTAATAAGAACACATTCAACAACCCCCACTACCACACCTCACACTCTCGAGTATGAATTCCTCGCAAAGCATCGACGCGAGTTCTTTCCTCACGTCGTCAGCAATACGAGAATGTACGCGACTCCCTACAAAAGGCACTCGAACCACTTTAACGGTTTCTTTGCATCACTAAACACGCCGTCGCCATTTCGAAACGACGTGTCCACGTGATTAAGCTCTGCCAGATAGCGCGGACTTTTGTATGACTTGCCGAAGGTCTCCAGCGGGAGGCCCATCGCACAACTTGAATACTCCACAATTCCGTCATTTTTGGGCGAGTGGTGTGGTAAGATCTTGCCAGCGAGCACATACGTTGTCGACTTTATAGTCACCAAGCCCATGAAGCTGTTGCTGCATACAACCGCATCAACGTTGGCAGCGTAAGCAGCTTGCGCGGCTGCGTACGCATTGTCTAACTCACGTGTCGAGAAGGTCGAGTTCTGGTACGCAACCGACGCCTCGCCAGTAGTTACGGGGCAGTTGCCCAACAAGTCAATGATACTAGCCACAAAGCCACCTTTATCACTATGGCATGACTCCTGGATGTAGTTTGACCCCATGCTGCCTTGCATTGGGGTACTCAGAGCCACCCAAGTTGTGGACGGGTCAAGTACAATCGATTTCTCGGCAATGGCGCCGGACAAGATCAGGTTAGCCATCGAGTGGCCGACAATAATCGTGTCTTTGACAGTTTTTGTGGCTTTGTCGCTCGTACTGCTCACTTCAAGCAGCAGATCAACCAGGCGCTGCTGAAAGTCAAGCGAACTCCAGTGGTTATCTTTGGTAGTCAGTGTAATGAACTTCCTGCTCAAGCAGCACGGCGAGTGGTCACCAATGTCGTCTCCGAAGTAGCCGTGGGGATCCTTATCAGTCAGACCACGCCCCCCAAACGAGTTCAACCCAGGTATGAACACACACACTCGACGCACACCCTTACAGCCACAACCGTCGTCCGTGACAAGGTCCCAAGCTTTCTCGAACAGGTTAAATTGAGCACTCTCAGCGCGCAGAGCACGGTGGCCCCACTCCAAAAATGACCGAGAGAGCATCGATGGCAGTGACGTGGAGATACGGTCCCCAAACGGAACAGCTCCACAGAAGGTCAATTCCTCTGTTGACACACGTGGAGCTACAATCGTCGGTGCAGTCTGCTCGTACTTGACACGAATGTTGAGGTCCTTCCCAAAAATCTCAAATCCATCGTCTGGAACCCACGACCAACTCGATTGGCCCGAGCACAGCACAAAGTCTTCACCGGCAAACTGGAACACCATGACTGATCCATGCGGACATTTGTCGTTCGAAGAGCTTAACGGGTTTGCGGTGATAGCGGTCTGAATGGCATCTAAGACACTATGAATAGGCGGAACGGAACCTGAAGGAAGACATCCCGATTGGACCTCCTGCTCATTTGAACGCACGGTGTAGTACGTGATACCATCTACGAGCGTGTAATCGTACCAGTCTCCGTCCTTCTCGAACGAGGCGATTCCGTCGTACACCATACTCCCGTCGTCGACCGAACGCTTGGGTGCTGGAACCGCGAAAACGTCGAATGTCGAGGCGCCGTGAACGTACATGGCCTTGCGCTTGAGCTCAAAAGTGAGTCGAAGTGCTGGTTGTTCCTGCAGGTTGCGGAGAATACGGTGCTTTGCCAGGTGTGCGTGAAAGTGGTGCGTGTAGTTGGTCACTTGTGTCACAGCGAGGAAGCAGCCGACAACGGCAACCACCGCGAGTCTCCAGAAAACCCATTGCCGACCAGGACGTGACGCTGATTCCCTGCGCCACAGCTGAGGCTCGTGGTGGTGGCGAACGGGCTCAAAACTGAACGAAAGTCGTTTTCGAGTCCATGCCATGCTGCTGGGTTCTGGTAGAAGCTAGTCCGCCTCTTTTCGGAAGTGAGCGTCTCATCAGTTTGCCACTTGAACGGGCAAACGAAAGGAACCTTCACGTGCGATTTGCACATACAAGCAACGCTCTCTCTCGCTCTCTCTTTCGACACGTTGTTCAGAAACAGCACCGCACGATTTGAAGAGCAGGCGGTGGACTGTATACATGCCGTCGAGAGGTTGTGTGTGTGTCACGTTGTTGCGATATCAAAATATCATTTGCGCCAGCTGCTCATGTCAAGACAATATGCTGCGAAGAGTGTGGTTTCCCGATACTGCTCGATGAACACGAGTACGCGACCGGCATTATGTCGCTGTCGTTCGCTAGTGGCTGCGTGTGTGTTTGCGGCAACTCTCATGAGCGTTTGTAAAGTAAATGGTGGCATCGGTCGTTCGTGGCGAAAAGAATCTGAATTGTACGCTTGGTAGTACGACATCTGAGCAGCCGCGACACAACCAAATGGTGGGTCAGGAAGCGCGAGGAATGCAATTTATCGTTGAGGAGGCGAGGTGCTGCGGTGCGAAAACTCGTGCACATGAATGCGGGTGCTGTCCTTGGCTTGCTCGATTAGAGTCCATACGGAACGGTCCAATTAGTCGAGAACTGGCTGGAATATCGAGGTACAACTCGGGCGTGTGGTGTTCACATACATGTCCTTGATCGACGCGACATCAACGTGACTTCGAGGAGCCCAACAGCTACCTTTTCCGCTCCAGCTGGTTTGATCAAGTACGAAGCCAAACATTTGCTCTGCTTGTTGGTCCATGTTATTTATCCTTTGACCGTCAAAAGATCGGGGTGCTGGCTGTAGCATGAAAGCTCTGGATATAGCTGTGCTCGGAATGGGGACTGCAATGCACGCCAAGCTTTTACGGCAATGCAGTCGCACGGTACATTGCAAATGGAGTCATTTTGCGGTTTATAACGTAACAACTTATCATCACTGACGTTTTCCGCCTCGCGATCATACGTTTGAGTAAGCCTGTAGACTCTATTAATCTTCAGTGCTTATCGGTTATGACCGTGTGAGAATGGCAGACGGTTGCTGTCCTATAATACACCGACGCAGGCTATTCCATCGCAGTGCTTTGTAACCTGGCATCTTAGCTGGTGCCACGGAAGCACACCTATTTCGAAGCACCACCAGTTCATTGTAAGTCGACGACTCTCCATCTCAACGTCCACCTCTTCATCATCATTATGATCAGCCAAAGCAGTTGATCGTAAAATCCTGATTTGGGGGAAAGGAATGTGATGTACGCAGGCATATCCTATTCCTTCTTTTACGTAGTTTCTGCAAGCAAAAAAGCGAGCGAGCTCAGAGTGTCGATAGTATCAAGTTGATTGTCCAATACGTGGCCTACATGTGAACAAAAGTCAGAAGTGATAGCACGGGGAAACAATCAAACGCATTCAATTACGTTGTATTATGGCGTATTTTATAAAGCAGGGGTTACCATAATCGACAAAGTGATGTTGCGTACTGCACCAAATTTGTTGGTTCATTGTACGCGCATGTAACAGGAACTGCCGGGCAGAGGTCGTTGAATTTGCACGCCACATTGGGATGCTCACTCGACTTTCAGTGGCACTGTCGATTTTTTAGACCTGGCCTCCAGATGCATCGTTACTGTGTATTTTGAGGCTCAATGAAGTGATGAGCTACACGTAATTGAACTGAAAATGATACAAGGTTGCATTAATTTACTCGATCCTGATGATCATCTCTCGTTTGACATCCAATTAATTATCAAGATGAGGCGACATTTCGCCAAAATGATTGGATACAATTAATTAGCATTATGACATGATGTTTTAAATAGAAATAGTTGCAATTCAATTAATTATCGAAATGAATGACACGACGTTTAGAATAGAAATGCTCGCATCTTGAGACAATACTCCACATAGTAATAGTTCAGTGGTCGACCAACGACTTTGGATCAGTGCTTCACAAAACAGCCACGAAAATATGATACAGATAAGCCAAAACCCACGAGAATGCATTTTTGCTGATGAGATCCACCACGAGGATCCAGAGGATTAATGTACCCGTCGAGAGGAGCTACGAACGCTTTAGCCTCGCAATACAGAAAAAAGCCAACGTCAGTCGTTTAATCTAGTGCTGTAGTTTTCGTCTCCGCGTGCCAGCACATGGGAACGAACGCATTGCTGATTTTCTAGTATGAAGCGAGACCGTCGTGCTGCATGAACCGCTTACACAGAGCCATCTGAATTCAGATGACACCAGTAATGCCCTTTATGGGATTGAAGAATTGCTCAAACAACCTCTAGCTTGACGAACACGAGTTGCGACAACGGCAGCGTTGTCAAAACGAGCACTAGCTGCAATCACTACAAAAGCAAGAGCGTGAGACTTGGTAAGACAGACCATACGACGCACTACCGCGAGACGGAGCGTTTCCAACGATCACCTCAAATTTACCGGCAACAGATCGCTAGGCTGGGGACTCAATTGATCGGCTGCGTTCACCCGCTCGACAGAAATTAAAATTTTCTTACAGCGAAAGAAGGTTGCGTCACGTTCCAAGCCAAGTGATCCGGCATGTGCAGAATTCTATCGAAGAGGTTTGACGACTTGCCGCCTAAACCATGTCTTGTCTGAGGTACTACTGCATGCAATTGATTGTCTGACCAACTTCCGGTAGTACTATTGGCCCACCGTAGCTACCAGCTACGTCTGCCGCTGGGTTGAACAGCAACCGCCTTTACTGCTGGGTCCAGCTACTGTTCAATGCCCACGCATTTGTCTGCCGTGCGGTCGAGCTGCCCGAACTTCAACTATCGCGCAATCGACAATGGGGGCTCAGCAATCGTCTTGCATCGGGGCTCAGCAACTTTTGCTGTATACCTCGGCGGGAAAGCACGCGTTAGGTGGCTAGACGCGTGTGCGCGACCTCTACGCTTGAATTTAGCAAACGCTTTCGATCGCAGACGTTCTAAGCGCCATCTTAAAATTTTACATCGTACCGCAACGAGTTGCTGAGATTCCACTGTGACACTGCGCACTCGGTTCGGGTGTCGACACGAGTTTGAAGGCAAGAGCACGATCACGTCTGACTGATCCGCCCCAGGCTTGATTCAAATAGAGTTTAGTGAGATACATGTTGCATCTGGAAGCAATAGAGAAGCTTTCGAAAACTATCCGTACATGATGTCGTTACGTGGCTGGATAGTCATCGATAGTCTGGCTGTCAAGTCCATGCCAATCGAATCTTGTGTGGCAAATCTTCACTGCAAACTGAACCACGTCTACTAACAACCCCCTCGCTCCATGCCTCGAAAACCGCAGGCGCCATTTCAGCTACTGCCTTGACGAAGCCGTACAGAAGCGCAACAGGCCCATACCATACCCGCGAGGTCCAAAGTCGTTTCGAACGGTGCAAACGCTTCACCGAGAACCGTTGCAACAAATCAGTGCCAAAGCACGCCAGGCGCCTCGGTCGCAGCATCCTCTCAAATCGACAGACGCGTCTGTGTCTCGCAACGAGACCTAGTCCCTCGACACCGCCATGTCCACACCGTTGCCCCCACAAGAACGGCAGATCCATCCACATGAAGTGTCGACTGCACTTCGACGGCGGGTGAGTGGATGGATGGGTAGGTAGGTGATCTTCCACCAAAAGTTTTACGTCCAGGCAGGTGACGGGAGCGTGCCACCTCCACTATCGTCCACGTTCCCTCGGGCCTGTCTCCCTCTTGCTGTCGAACCCGTACCGTCATAGTCTCCGTTCGCAACGCGCGACTCGCCCGCGGGCGCAGCAGCAGATGAGCCGGCGGCCACGCCAGGCAGGCGTCCAGCACTCTTCCATATTTTCCTTCCAGCTCACGCCCCGTGCGCTTGGCGTTTCACCGTTTTTCCCTCTAAAGGACACGCTCGCGTCCGTACGGACGTCGAAAAGCCGCACAACTCAGTCCAGCTCGCCTGGTTTCCACCATTTCCGCTTCGGCAGCGTCGAGACCGCACGCCACTCGACAACTTGGTTCACGTCCACCACGTCCACGTCCACCACAAAACCAATGGGGCTAGCGGACCACCTGAGCGACGACAGTATCAAGCCAAAGCGCAGTCACTCCCCCGAGAGCTGGCGCCAATGGGAACCGGACCACGAACCGTCCACGGACGGCGAGTCGGACGCGACGACCGCCGACAACACGCGGCCGTCGTCCTCTCTCCCGACACTTGACGGTCTCCGACAGCACTCCCCTCGAGCGTCGGCCGTGCCTCCGGCGCTCGCGCCCTTGAACCACCACAACCAACTCACGCGGTTCATCGCGAAACAAACGCTTGGCTACATCCCCAAACTCCTCGTGCGGAGTCCGGAACGCACGTCGCCGTCACACGCCGTCTACGGGAGTCTCCCACGGGACCTCGCGGGCTTCACGTTCGAGAGTCCACGGGGGAAAACCGGGAGTGAGTCGCCGTCCTTTCGACTCCCGAGTCTCACGCCTCCTCGGAGTCCCTCCACTTTCTCCACTGAAGACGACCAGCTCCAAACCGCAACGACAACCACAACCACGACCACCACGACATCCACCACGGACGGCGGACGCTCGAGTCTCCCGGCCTTACGACCAAGTGGAGCGAGTCTCCTCCTCCGCCGGTCCGACAGTTTCTCCGAGACGTGTCGGTCGCCCATCCCGCCACTCAAGCGGCAACACACGCAGGAGGCCACGCACCACAGCGCCATGTCCATTGCCGACCTGTGCCAGCCGTTCCGGTACATGCGCGCGTCGTCGTGTCCGTCCGACACGCACCCGAACGTACCGCTAACACCTACCACCACGAGCTTCAACAGTCCCCTCACGCCACCTACACAGCATCTGCCCTCCCCCCTCAGTGTCGAACCCAGCTGGCGACCTGCAATTGAACCACGCGTGTCGTCTGCACGCCCACGATCGTGCACCGATGGCATCGACGCGTTGCGCGGGAGTCTATCGCCGTCTGGACCGACGTCCCCTGACGACGGCTTCCAGCGGATCCGGTTGGAGCGCAGCAGCTCCATGGACGCGCCCACGTTGGTGCGGCACCTGAAACGCACAGCGGCCGAGTCCATTGACTTGACTCAGTGGCTCGACCAGCCGCGGCTGAGCTCGTTGAGTTCGCTGGCGGACTCGGCCGACTCGATGCATCAACTCGAGCAAGCCGGTCGCTCGATGTGCATCTCGGACTCGCCTCGGTCGGACGCCATGGCAGCGCACGAGGCCAAGCGCGAGAAGAAGCTCTGTGCCTTCCCCCAATGCGCAAGCAACGCGGTGACCCGTGGACTGTGCATCAGTCACGGCGGCGGCCGACGATGTCAGCGCAAGGACTGTACACGTGGTGCACAGAGCAAAGGGCTCTGCGTCGCCCACGGCGGCGGCCGCATCTGTCGCGCAGCCGGGTGCTCCAATATCCAGCGCAGTATGGGCTTATGCATCCGTCACGGCGGTGGCAGACGCTGTAGCGTCAAGGGCTGTCAGAAGGGCGTCGTGCGGCAGGATCTGTGCACGGCCCATGGCGGCAAACGCAAGTGTCGCGTGGCGGACTGCACAAAGCACGTGAAGAAGAAGGGACTGTGTCGATCGCACGCCAACTCGCTCTACGCGTCGTCGGGCTCGAGTTAGAAGGTCTCGGTGGCTCTCGTAAGCTCAGCCCCGAGTTCAGCTCGTGGTGACAGCCAACTGACCGGGAGCCTTGATGTACATACTGTGTAGGTATAGGCCGTGATAGGGATCTCTGACCGCCCGAAATAGTGTTGAATTCCGTCGTCGTGGTGCCATGTGACATGGCGATTCTGCCCGGTGGTCGTAAGAGACTTCGCTGAGCGAATCAGATGCAGCTGTTTTTGCGGCACAAGTATCATGTGCGATTTCGGTGGGTGACAGGCTCTTAAGTACGGTAATATTTATCGGCACATGGAATGCGCGTGTGTGTGTACATACTTGTGGGACATGTGTCGACTGAAGGAGGACGAGCGGCGGAAGAAGGCTGCTGCGACTTCATGCTGGTGCACCTAGCACCTCACATGTAAAGACGCATTCTTTGCACTCGAGAGGACGATCCGACCACCTTCCGTCGCTACAAACAGGCTGTCGACAACCGTTCGTGGGAAGTGCGTGCGACGTGGTCCTGGTCCCTGCTACCCAATTGGGGTCATCTGCTCGGCTCTTTCGCCGAGACGACGTGCTGCCGGGAATCGATCTGTTTAATGGTGGTTGAAGCTGGTATTGACGGTCGTTGCAAGTACCGTTTGCTTCAGTCGCTGTCCCGTTTGCTTTAGCTGAAGAGGCGCGGATGGCTACGGAATCGATAAGCGGCATCACCTCCGTCAACGGTCCGAGCGTACTTAATCAGGTACGCACGACAGGAAACCGGCAACGTAACATCTGACATATGAGAAGCGATACCGGATAACTCTGACAGCAGCAACGATACATGTATGGTGTGTGTGTATACATGATGTGCACGATGAGACTGTTGCTCAATGGGAGTCATGACAAGTCCTCGGACCACTGCGTCCATTACCAGTATCAGTCGGCAAGTCACTTGCATCGTTGATCCTTACTGCATATGATGCGCTTCTATCTGGTGGATCGACATGCATTCCTGGAAGACCAGTCGCTGCAGCTCTTCCTTGGGCATTTCCACGCCCAAATCCAACGACTCGCGCTCGAAGTCGAAGTTGAAAGCCTCGGCACACACGGGCTCGTCAGCCTACGACATGACGATCACGCACGTTATTTCTCCATCAAAGCAAGGGTAGCAACGGATGTCCCGTAGGACACTCGACGAATGCGTACGGGGTTCTGAAGTTGTGCCAGGTACGGATGTGCCAATGCCTGTACGACGGGAATGCGCTCGGCTGGATTGAACTTGAGCATCCGTGAGAGCAAGTCAACCGCCAGGGGGTTCGCATCCGGGAAGAACTCCATCAACGGACGCTAGTGGGTTGTTGACACACAAACACACGTCAATCGATCGATCGATCGCCTCATTGCAACTGCATTGCATCGACGTAGGGGCATGGACTCAATCAACGTACCTTGGGGTAAAACCCGTTCTGTAAGATGGCTCGCTTCGCAGCTTCATGCGGTACGAACGCCATTTCCTCCTCAGTAGGTGACCCCAGCACCCGGATGATCGTGTGCAATTGATCGGATGGATCTCGTCCTGTAAAGAACGGTCGACGACGCAGCATCTCAGCAAAAATGCATCCAATTGCCCAGACGTCCACTGCGTCATTATAGTTTTGACAGTCTGTCAGCAGCTCCGGCGCACGGTACCAGCGCGTGACGACATACTCGGTCAGGTCTTCGTTCTGTGCAGTTTCCACTCCTCGGGCCAGTCCAAAGTCACAAATGGACAAGTCGCAGTTCGAGTTCACGAGCAGATTCGAGGGCTTGAGGTCGCGGTGCAGCACATTTCCCGAGTGCACAAACTTCATACCCCGCAAGATCTGGTACAAAAAGTACTGAAAATGAGCGTCTGACAGCGGCTGGGACGAGCTGATGATGCGCTCCAAGTCGCTCTCCATGAGGTCCGTGACGATGTAGATGTCGTGAAAGTCCATGACGTTGGGCGGAACTAGAATCACGTCAAGAATCTGCCACGAAAAACCACGATCAAGGACCCTCGTCCTCCTTCCGTCAGAGCGAAGTTCTCTAGTCACGTTCATACAGTGCACCGTTGCTGCCCTACATTAATGATGTTTTCGTGCACCCCGAGGTGTCGAAGCAGCTTCATCTCGCGTAAGATCCGTTTGGCATCCGTGAGGTCGTCGAACACGTCGGTGATTTTCTTGATCGCTACTTTGCGACCTCGTAGCTGCATGGTCATCGGAACAATGGCAGTGTCTTTCGTTAGCGAGAACCAAAGCTTTAGGATGCAAGGACGGCTGGTCGATACCGTATCTTCAGCAGAGCAGACAATGCCGTAGGAACCGCCACCCACAGGGCGCAAGTTCACGTAGTGCGAGCGGACTTCGAATACATCGCGAGACATGGTGACGCAGTGGAAGTCCGGGCCGTAGCGAGATGGTTCAGCTGACATGACGAAGCGAAGGAGGTCGGAAGGCGATGGATCCAACAACAAGGAGAGACTGTTGGAAACGATCCCGAGATTCCGACGACAGATCGGGCATCCCGCTTGCGATCCAAAGAGATGTTCGCAATTTGTCGCCAGCTGTTTCGACCCGACGCTGTGGCCATAACCAATTCAGCGTGCGAAAAGGTACTTACTTGTCAATCTACTTTCTGCATTGGACTCTCCACGACTTACTCTTTGCTCGTGCAAATGGCGACACGCGCTCGTCAAAAAGTCGGGTTACCACTGTCTGGAGTTGGGGTTCCGTTGTCGCTGTGGCTGATGCTGCTGCTGCTGTCCCATACCTTGCCATTGCAGACCTTGGAAACTATTCTGCTGCATCCCTCCCTGTGGCTGGCCCATGCCCATGTGCATCTGACTAATGTTTAAGCTGCTTGGACCTTGAGGGGTCATCAAAGACGGAGCTCCAGAATTGATAGCAGTAAATCCTCCTTGAGCCCCGTACGCTCCGCCATGGGTTCCCGTCGTAGTTGGTGATAAACCCCGGGGTCCGTTACTCGCCATCGTGGCCGAGATAGGTGTAGGTTGCATAGGAGCCGTATTGTGGCCTGCAAAGACATCAAAGGGGTCGCGCACAGCCTGGGGCGGAGCGACACTGGCCTGTTTCAACAAGACAGATGGATACCATTACTTTGCATACAGAAGCAGAACCGGACGTACGTGCAGACTCATGGTACCGACAGAACCGGAGACTGGGCCGCAGCAGTCTGTGATGCTGATGTAGGCACAGGGTCCGACATCTTGGGAATGCAACCATATTGGTAAGTAAAATACATTGCTAGATCGTTCTTCTGCTGTAAACCGCACTCACCAGCCCGACCAGGTCGTTGTTGAACGTCTTCTGTGCACTTTGAGGCTCTTCTCGCTTGGCTATGTATTGCAGTAAAAGACACATACCATGAGTGAGGAATTGATACTCACAACAGCGACAAGACATCATGTCTGTATGACGCACTGGGTGACAGTGGGACTTCCAACGTCTCGATGAGATCGGACGCCTCCACTTGAGCCTCGACAACATCTTTCTGCTCCAAGACACGAGCAGTGCTCTCTCTCTCGACGCGTGATATCTTGCAAATGACAATTCCGTTGAAATCCGGCACAGTGTCCATATCGTTCACCAGGTCCAGCCACACTGCCCGAAATCCATTAGATAAACCCCGATTTTATTCGTGCAATTGCTCTCCAACTGTATGTAAAGTCGCTCTTAAATCGCACCATATGTTCCCTCGAACGCAGTTTTAAAGCGAAAGTGGAAGTCACCCGGCAGCGGGAAGCTCTACACAAAACAAACGAAATAAGAGCAATTGTCCAGTAACACCGTTTCAACCGATATCACAAGAGACAGTCACGCCTACGCTCTTCACATGCTGCAGCCGCAGCTGGTCCACGCGTGGAAGTGGCACTACATTCAGGTGATCGGAGGAGTCTCCGTCCTCCGGCACAAAGTAGTTGAGCATTCCCTCCATGCTGCGCTGTGGTTACGCTTCAGTAGCTCGCTTGATCGAGCGACACAATCGCAAGAGATCAGTCTGACGAAATGTCGGGTTTTATCAAGTCAGTAAAAGCGTCGTTTCATCCGCGAAAACCGGTTTCGTGCACGGATACGCGCATTTAAAAAGCGTTCTCTAATCCTCCAAATACAAGTCCCTCATTTGCATACCGTACCCTTCGTAACCGCATGTACCCCCTCCTGGTAACACTCATTTGAGTTAGAAACCGATTGTAACCTCTTCGAGACCGAGATGAAGCTCAAGAACGTCAACACGGACGCGTTACAGGCAGCTGTTGATGCGCGCGCCCAGCAGCGGGCAGAAGGTGCAACCCAGAGAGAAGACGGTGAACAAGCAGAAGAAGGAGACGGCGCGCAGGAGGCGTCGGCGCCCGTAGCGACGCTCTCTAGTTGTGTGGACTACACAGACATCCAAGACCACGAGCTCTACTACGTGGGTACAGCCGGAGTGAAGGTGACGGAACTGGATGCAGTCGAGATGCTACAGACGCTCAAGAAGCTGCACGTGCGGTCGAATATGCTGCGCTCAATGGCGAGCGTAGCGTCGCTGGTTCACCTCGAGCACTTGGAGCTCTACGATAATCAGCTCCAGGTCATTGAGGGCGTGCAGGGGCTCGTGAACTTGAAGGTGCTGGATCTGTCGTTCAACGAGATTCGAGAGATTCCAGACCTGAGCCACTTGACGCAATTGGAGGAGCTCTATGTGGCCAACAACAAGCTGGCAAAGATCTCGGGCATTGAGAGTCTCGGCCAGTTGAAGAAACTGGATCTTGGAGCGAATCGTCTGCGAGCGATTGAAGGTCTGGACGGACTCTTGCACCTTGAGGAGCTGTGGCTGGGGAAGAACAAGATCACGGTGATTAAGGGACTGGAGAAGCTGGTGAAGTTGCGGATTATTAGCGTGCAGAGCAATCGTGTGGTGACAGTGGCGGGATTCGAGAACAATGCAGAGTTGGAGGAGCTGTATCTGAGCCACAACGGTATTGAGAAGATTGAAAACATTGAGCACTTGGTACGAATATTAGATAGACATGTTGATGGAGTTGATCGATTGTGTAGAACTAACGCTGATGGTTGTGTGTCGTTGCTGTCTCGTCAATAGACAAAGCTACGTACCGTCGACTTCGCTGGCAATCGCATCACGAATATTCCAGCGAACATGTCGCCACTCTCGCAACTGGAAGACTTGTGGCTAAACGACAACGAGGTCACGCAGTATGAGGATGTCGAGAGCCTGACTCCGCTGGCAGCGCTGCGCACGCTGTATCTCGAGCGCAATCCCCTCGCTCAGGACTTTGAGTACCGAAAGAAGGTGGAACAGCTGTTGCCACAGCTCGATCAGATTGACGCTACACCAACGACGCGTGCGAGACAAGGACGCATGTGATTGCAAAAGCAGTCCATCGTCAACGATTGCGGAGCTGGAGAAAATGGGCGATTCCGAGCACTGCTGGCTCGCAGCACACGTTGTTCGTTAGCGGCAGTCCGTGGATACTGCCTGAACAGGTGTACGATTTTTCATGATGGCTTCAGAACGATTTCAGGCAGGCTGGTGGCTCGACATGGTTCGCTGATGTAAATGACTTGCCGTCTAGGTATGCAGACGTGGCGATTTTGCCGATGACGGGTTCATGCTCCAATGGTGGTACGTATCACGGACACGTACGTACTCTATGACGAAAGCTATGGTTGTAAGGACTGATAGCTAATGTTTGTGGTATATTTCTACTGCATGAATTAGTTTGAGCATCAGCATCTACGCTGAGCACTCGAACACTTCCCGTTCAGACGAAGTCAATGGACGCTCGCAATGTCCGAGTAGTGTTGTCAATTCATATTTTCACATCCACCAAGATCCCTCTCCTATCAAAATAACAAGACAATCCCCTCACCCATGCTTCACCTTCCCAGTCCCATCCCTACAGGGTCAAGCAAACTTCCAGCTAGCACGTCCCTGCAACTTTCACGTCTGAACCGAGTCGTCCGAGCAAACGCTTGACGACACCGCGGCCATAACGCTCCAGCACTAGCCGCAAGTCGATAGGTTGTCTATTACGAGTGCCCTGACGCTACCTGGTTTGCTGTGGTGTTTGTTGCATCGGTTCCCGTTTTACCAATAGTGCCACAAGTCGTGAAATAGCTTTCTGGGATCAGCTCGTCTACTGGCACCGACGCTGGAGAGGCAACACCTTCAGTACTCGAATCCGCTTCTGATGCCGCACTACCTGAGACAGGTACGGGCACTGATGCCGAAGCTGAAGGTGGCGGACAAGACTTTACCTCAGATCCATCACCAGGAAGGCTCACGTAACCGTCACACTCCATCCGCACCACAGAAGGGATCTGACCACTAGTATTTGCCAAGGACTCGCCTTGGGCAAGCAGCCGCAGGCTTTCGTTCAATGCAGGTGACGAACCACCGTTTGCATCGTAAACCACGGCGCTTTCCCCATTCTGCTGTCGAGCGATGGCAGCACGTTGCTTGTCGAACTCTTCCATCTTCTTTCGAAAACGCTCAATTTCTCGCTGGTGCTTCTCCTCTTCACTACGAATCGCGGCTTCCAGCGATGACTCGCGATCATCGAAGGAAGACCGCGCAACCTTCAAGCGGTCTTCCAGCTGGTGAATTTGCTGCGCATACGTTGGATCAACGATGGAACCCATCGAAACACCACGAGCTTGCTGCTCCAAAATACTCATCAAGGCCTCGGTTGTAAATCCGGACTCACTAGCACTATGCAAGAGGCCAGGCCGCGGTGGCGACCGACCAGGTTCGTTGCCAGAAAATTGCGGGTGAGCACTTTCGCTACTGCTGCCAGAAGAACTGCCCCCTTCTGGTGCCATCAACGTGGCAGATGAGTCGCTCAACCTTGCAGCGTGGACGGACTCTTGCGATACTGACGATTCTCCCTCCGGAGGCGCCTGCATACCGGATAGCGTAGCACTGGCGGTGCTACTGGTGCCCAACACGCTTTGGTGTACAAAAGCCGGTACTTCTGGTGAAGCACTTGGCGTACTTTCCAGAGACGGCAGATATATTTGTGGCTGCTGGTGCGCCGTCGCATCAGGTGGCGTGTGTACTAAAGACATCTTTGACACATTTGGAAACGGAATCGAAGAAAACGAATGGGGCTCGGGCGCTTCTTCCCAGACATCTTCTTGCACGTCGGAGAGGTTATTAATTTTGCCCTCGGTGACAAGAAAACGGATCGAGTCGGCAATGTCTTCAAGGTCCGGCTCCAATATACCCACGTCCACGGCCAATTCGCACGCAACTTCATGAGGACTATCAGCGAACAAGTTGAACGGAAACTTGATCTCCTTTGATTTGCCGTCGATGATGATGCGTAAATTCAGTAGAATGCTGTGCTCATTGTCCGGATCCTTGACGGCTTTAATCTCATGTCGCTTTGCGCGCTTTCGTGCGTTCGCACTGCTTGCAGCCGATTGAGACGTTGCTTGAGGTGGAGATGCCGGCTGACGGGATGCGGCTTCAGAGGCAGCCACTGTGTTGAACGGATCATGAATGCTAGCACGGCGGGTTAGACCAACCTGAGGCTCCATGTCACGTTCCGGCAGCTGCATTGAAGGAATCGGGCCTTCAAGTTGTTGGTGTGGCATAAACATCCCAGAGGCCGACTGAGAGTGTTCGGCAGCATCCGTGTACGCTGCTGTGTGTTCACCTGCAAACGACTGCAAGTGCCCTGGCGTTTCGACACTACTGGACAACGGCGATTCCACAGGACTTTCGGCATATTTTGGCATGACATCGTTTTCCAAGTCAAGTCGGTGGCCTCTACCACCCATGATGTTTATCCGCGTGTTCTGGATTGCACTCTCCGAGCCAGGCAGTGTCGCGAGAAACTGGTCCACATGCGTGTCAACGCTTTTCTTGCCTTTCGATAACGGTTCATCAGCGCTAACCATCTCGTTGATAAAAGGCTGAGAGAGCGAGTACGTTAACTTAGGCGATTCTTCTGGTGGAGGAGTGGGCGTACGTATTGGCGCTGGCGAAGGAGCTAGTAATGGTGCCAGCATCAGAGGTGTCGGTGTCAGCGCAGACGCGGATCCTGACGATAATTGTGGAACCATTCCGGTAGACGGGGACGGTGTTACAGTGTTGCCATCAGCTCCTGCTGGCGGCACCATTATCAAACGGTTCGTGCCGGTCATATTTACATCAGCAGAGACATTTGCAAAAGGCACCGATGCACTTGTGACACTCCCGGGAGCAGAAGTAGCACCGCTCACGGAAGACATCGCTGACATTCCGTCGAGCTCTGATGAAAGCGACGTAAACTGTGTCCTCCGCCCACTGACTGCAGACGCAACACTGTCCTTGGATCCACCTTCCATATTAAACTCCACTGCAAAGGACTCCTCAGCAACCCTTTCTAACCGTTGCTGCGCTTCTTTTGCTCCACGCTCGAGTTTGTCTTCATCCAGGCACTCAACCATGTCATTATCATCATCTTGCGCTTTCAAGAACGGGTGGTCCAATAGATATTGAGCCGTTACGTCGACCAGTCCGTTCCCGCGCGACAGACACAACTCGATGAAATCACACGCAGCTTGACTGACAACACGTTGCAGACCTCTTGGACGAATACCAGCAGTAACCTTTTTGTAAATCTGTGCCGGATTTATACATTCCGAGTATGGTACTTCTTTAGTCACCATCTCTAGCACGCACATTCCGAACGCGTAAATGTCCACCTTTTCATCGTAACTTTCGTCGTACAGCTCCGGTGCCATGAACTCAGGTGTACCGAGTACGCTCTGTGCCTTAGAGCGTTTGTCCACTGCTAGCTGGGTCGACAGTCCCAAATCTCCTATCCGAAGATCGCCCGTGTTGCCATTTACAAAGATATTGTCACACTTTAAATCTCGATGAATCACTGGCGGATTCTGGCTGTGCAAGTAGTGCAGCCCCTCGAGGATCTGGATACACCAGCGCTTGATAATCTTCCACTTGATGAATTGCACGCGTTTAATATACGACTTCAACGTCCCAGACGTCATGATCTCGGTGATAAACACCACCTGGTTCTTCTCCTTGCAAAACCAGCTCCCGTAAAAGTTGATAATGTTCTTGTGCTCGAGTTTCTGCAGCAACTGGACTTCCTGGATGATCCGCGTCTTCTCCGTGCTTGGCAAGAGTCCAATGTCAATAGCGTTCCACGCCACGTCAATGCCTTGGTCCGTGTCGTACGCCTTGTACACCGACTTGTACGCACCTGTGCCAAGTCGAATGTCAAAGCGGATGTACCGTCCACGAGGCGAGTGCTCCATGGGCCGATCGCCCTCTTCTCTCACGTACACGTCACCGTCTTCCATCAGTGACAGAAAGTGCCTGGAATAAGCGCCTAAAGTAGGAGAGAGCGAGAACGCGAGTAAGACAGAAACGGCTTCCCTGTCTGATCAAGAGCTCTAACGGTGCGTCTTGGAGCTTCCAGAGCACTTCAGCGACGCTGCAGCACAGCGTTCGACGCCTGGCGTCCTTGATGTTCTTCCTGGACGGCTTTGAGCAGCTCGAAATGCCAGGAACACGCCGCGTTCACGGGCTTTAGACGATTCAGTTCTTCACACTGTAGCGGATCTTGTACTGCTTCGACTGTGGTCGCACGGACACGCCTGGAATCCCCTCGTCGAGAAGATCACGAGGAGTCGCTGTCCGGTGCTGTAGACGACCGCAGACACGCTCGAGACGCTCGAGACGACGCCTTGTCTCGATGCCGTCTTCGTCTCCACTACTGTGTGCGCTGTTTGTCTTCGCGGGAGTCTAGCTTAGACTTGGCATTTGTATGTGGATGTGTTTGCGGTTGTTGTTGTTGGTACGGAAGAAGTTGACTTCAGAGAGAGACTTACAAAAAGCAGGTGCGAATGAGGTTTTGAGGTTTTGGAAAGGGGTGGAGATGGGTCGAACAAGGCACGACTCGGACAACTGCTCACAACGGGCTGATCAAATGTCATCGTAGCTTGCGTAAACTAACATTTTGCTTGCTAATGTTTTCGGCCGTTCCTGTCACGGGGTAAGCCTGTTACATGTAACCTTGGTCTTTGTAAGTTTAAATATTATCACAAAGGTTGATAATCTTCGTGGGGCATTGGTCTTTGTAAGTTTAAATATTATCACAAAGATTGATAATCTTCGTGGGGAATATTACCATAAAGGGTAATATTCCGAAGCACTCACCAAATGGCTGATATATGGGCCATCATTATCAGCCAGCTCAAGCGGTCCAATCAACGATGGACGCACGCAATGAGCGGTGAGCAAGACTTTAGCATACACTTTTGTCGATAAAATAATTAAGTTAAGACTAAACATAGGTACATGTAATGAAGAATTTATTATGTCTAACACAGTTTTACTTTCTGCTTCTATTGAGCGTGTCGTTCACTAGCTAGCCTTCCTCTGCACGTATGGCGTACGTGACGTGACGCACGGCACTACCTACACTGTTGTCAGTGTAGGTGCACTAGTACTGAAGCAGTACTAGTGACCATTGCCCCGTTACACCTGGTAGCACTTCGTAGTCCGTCCAATGAACCACGACCCCTACATCTAACATGAACATGCTAGATGATTTTAGTGACAGCTTTCACGTCACGCATGAAAGCTACTCCCGTTTGACTGACATCGAATGGAGTGCGGTCGAATAAATCAGCTCGACCGTGGACGAACGTCCCGTCTCTGCCATGCTATCCGCACCGGACAGAGATGGGCAACATGCCGTGTCGCCAAGTTCATACAACGTGAACTTGACGAGTCGCGAAAAAAAGTAACTTTGCTTCACGAGCAGAGTTCTCAACAGGCAGAGCTGTTAAAAGGGGAACAGGGAGCTCAATAGTTCGAACTGTTGAGACAACAGCGGGAAAATGATGCTGTTCCCGAGGCGATGCACTCGCGTCGATCCGAAACTTTGAAGATAGACATCTCAAAGTACAGAGGATCCGAGGAAGACTCCCTGCTGAGATAATTCGTCGAATTTAACGACGCCATAACGGCTCTTTTCATCGTTGATGAGCAAATGCGACTTGCATTTGCTCATTCGAACCTAGCTGGATATGCCAAAACCTGGGCATTAGAGCTCAAGTTGTACGACCCATGTGTGTTTGGGTCGTTGGAGGTCTTCAAGACTCGACTCAGATAAACGTTTGCACCGATAAGGGCTGAGTTCAGGGATCGGTCAGAGCTCATAGAACGCATGTGAGGTAAGCGTGATGTGTACATTTACGTTCAACACATACGACTCCTTGCTTGTTGTATCACGGCCAACCCGCATCATTAGCACACATTGATCACTGTGTAGATGCAGGGTCTTGCGGGTGGTCCCGTCAAGACTCACCTGTTTTGCTTGAATGAATACGCTTGAAAAGGATTACTGGTTGAAAATAGGAGGACTTTAGCTTGAGACAGGCTCATGCTAGTTTGGGTCCAAATCGTCCCCCAAGACGACAAGAAGTCGGAGGTCCAGAATGTGCGGACCTCTGTTTTTTTGAAAGCTAGAGACCTCACTCTTCAGCCAACAAGCGATTGCAGAAGTGCAATCACTTTCAGAAGTTATGGCACTACGCTTACAAGTATAATGCTTCACGCCAAGCGTCTCGAAAGACTGAGAGAAGTGGTCGACCGTCTGCCAAGAAGGGTGACTGAAGCGTGTCCAACGCTGTTGCGAAGTCACAACCGCGTGGCGGACCTTCAAAATATATTCAGGTCAGTAGGGGCGGAGAGCCCTACTGATTCAGCAACTTCAAGAGAAGTTGCAAACCTATTGGTGAAAGTTTCTCTAGACTCACAATCCTTGTGTGTCTCGTCATTGGTGATGAGGTACCCCTCATCACCTTGAGCTTCGAGGTGTCAAAAGGATTGTCACTTCGTGCCTTAGTTTACTGTGGGGCGTCGAACAGTTGTATTCGACGCCAGTCGCTAGAGGATTGTAGTCTCGCTTAACTATGTTGAGAGAGAGTTCCCTTCAACGAGGATGACGGTATTTCTTGCAACTGGCGCATCCATAACATTGAACAAGCATGCAGTGGGAATCCACTACACGCTAGAAGGAAAGCATTACGATGATGACTTCATCCTACTAGATTCGGATGACAAATTGGATATTATCCTCGGTCTTCCATGGCTCAGAAAATACCAGCCATGGATCAGCTGGCAGCATCGATCCGTGAAGATGCCTGCCGTTTGTTCACCAGATGGCCATCTGCTGAGCGTCTTGGAGCGTTCACAAGCGCGTGTATGTACTACGAGTGGTGCGATGGCCTCGCTTACGGTACGTTTGTTAGTACGACTTCACACGATCACCGCGTGGCAACTAATGACACTGTGAAGGGAGCAACTAGCCGCCGTGCGGATGCAAAGGCAGCGCCGAATGTTCACCACTCAAAAAAGTGGAGTGGATAGGGACATGGGTGCACGCCTAGCAGGATACATCCAAGGAACAATTAACCGGCTGCCCACACTGGGCAACATGATGATCCTATATACTCTGGAGAGTCGATCGCAGAGGACCTATTGTGATATCGCATACACATCTAGACGACGTCAATGGAATAAATCCCCACGGACTTGAGAAAAAAAAATCCTCAAGCAGATATTGATGAGTCTGCGAAACCTCATCAACCTGAGGGAATAATTCTCCAGTAGCCTTTGGAAAGGGATCCTGAGGAAGGAACCGAGACATTGCATGTCTTGGTTAATGTAGGGTCAAGTTTATGCGTTTAAAAATTTGATCCGAGCGCGCCTCCTAGGACGATGTTGGAGATCACTCAATCACCCACGCTCGAACAGAAGATATTCTTGCGTGATATGCGTAATGGTAAAGGCAAAACCAAACCTATTTTGCGTACCCGTCGCGGAAGACGAGTACGTAACCGAAATCTAGTCGGCAATAATATTTGCTACGACGAAGGGTTATCAGCATCTCATCAATGGACGAGAATTTTCTTGATGAGAAGACTCGTATTGAGCGATATACATTCCAATCGTAAGAAATGCTCAAGCCAAATCCTCTCTACGATGGTTGACGGAATTTGGAGACGTTTTCTTAGAAAAATGCCGAGCGAGGTACCCAAGGATAAGGGTACTCGTCATGAGATCGACCTGCAATCAGGCACATTATACTGTGTCATGGAACAGTTGCCACTGCCTCGTGAACAGGTACTAGCGATTGACAAATTTTTTGTCGATCTCTTGGCAGCGAGCCAACTTAAATAATCTACTTTTTCACGCAGCTCTCCGACCTTCTTGTCCGAAAGGCCACGGGAGAATGGAAGATTTTACATATCTTCAACAAGTTGAATGCTGCAACCCGGTGCCGGCTCAGACGCCAATACCAAGAAAGATTGTCATTATAGATGGTATGTCAAAAAGAATATAACTTTTCGTCCAAGGATCTTTTATGCGGGTTCAATCAGATTTTTATGTGTGAAAAGGACATCTCATACAATGCGGTGAGCATGTCAAGAGATATGCTCTGGTAGTGGCTAGTTATACAACAGGGATTACGCTATGCCCCTTCTACGTTCTACAGATGCGTTAAGTATTAAATGGACCTGTCCGAGAATTTGCAGTCACTTATTTTGATGAGGTGTTCGTCCGTATCCGAGTTTTGGATGGACATCCGGTTGTAAAAGCTCACCGACTCCGCGTCCTAATGTTTATTACACTGATGCGTGAGCAAAAGTTGTATGCTAACTCCAATAAGTGTATAATTGCTGCTAGCGAAAGACCAATTCTCGGATGCGCTGTGGGTAAGCATGGCGTCCGTCCCGATTCGGAAAAGATCAAGGCGACCACTGACTGGTCGGTGCTTATCGACAGAAAAGGAATTCGAAAGTTCCTCGGTCTAGCGGCGTATTTTCACAAATACATGCACAGTTACTCCGATATGACTGTTTACCTGTCTTGCTTAAATGAAACAGAACGAGAAGTGGGCATGGTGTGCTGATTATCAGCGCTCCGTCGAAGTTTTCACGCAGAGCTTGAAGTGCTCGCCGGTTTTGTCAATTGCAGACCAAGACATACCATTTCATGTTGTCTGCGATGCTAGTGATTTTGCCATCGGATGTGCTCTAATGCAGTATGAAGCAGACGGTGCTTAGCGTGTAGTCTGCTATCAGTCGCGCCAGCTACAACCGGCTGAATGTAATTAGCCTTTTCTTGAAAAAAAGTTCTCGCTATGCAGTATGCATTGGCGAAGTTAATGGTCTACCTGCTAGGTAATTGACCCTTCATCGTTTACACAGACAATGTGTACTTACGCACGGCAGTTAACAGTCCACAACTCTCGCATCGAATGGCGCGATGGCTTTCGTTAATTTCA